CTGCCATATTCGGCGTAACAGAGCCAGGTGCTTTTCCCAGACTGCTTGATCGGGGGCTGGGGGAGTCCAAGAAAACTGCAGCCAAATTTGGATGCTGAGGGCGGCACACGGAGGAAGTGGCTGAAGTTGGGATAACAGCGGGTTGCCAGCCGGATTTCTACAAAGTGAGAATAGCTCCCATCTGAGCTTTGTAAGCCCGGCTTTCTTACACTAAGGCTTCCAGCATCCTTTCACAACTCTTAACAGTGTCCCCGCTGTGGGGCATTTCTACCCTGTCACTTCCCACAATGACAGAATCACCATTTCTAAACAGAACGTACAGGGAGAAACCCAGCCCTGGTCACACACGTGTTGGGTACCATGTGGGGTTCCCTATCAGGGCCATGACAGTCAGATTTTACATATAAGGAAAGTGCCTTCTCTCCACTAAGTCAGGCCCGCTGAACCCCTTTGGGCCAGGATAGTGTCTCATCCACCCACCCCACCCCACCCCACTCCCGCACCCCCCTGCCTGGGATAGTAGGTGCTCAACAAGTGCTGACCTTAAGGCCACTTGCCCACAATCATGTGGCTGGTAAGGATGCCAAACCAGAGCCTCCTGCCGCCAGGACTGAGCTCTGGCCCATACACCATGACGTGCATCTCTCTTCAGGCTAGAAATAGGTATGGATCATCCCAGAAAGCCATTCCTGGTTTTAAAAAGCCAAGAGTGCCCAGAGTGTAAGGAAGATGTCCATGAAGATGATTAATGCTCTTTGGGATCTCACGCAGTGGTTTTTGTGATTACAGAGTATCATTCAGGGAAAAAGATGCACCTCCAAAACTTCTGTACCCTATCCGAGGTCAGTGAAAGTTACTCAGATTTACAGAAGGTATTTCCCTTTGAAATCTGTCACCATTGTTTATAATTTGTGACAGTAAAGAGAAACCAAGGTGAGCTTGTTACCATTTACCAGAGCACTGAATTCAGTGACACCTGGGCCTCTTTTGGTTGGGAGAAAGCAGATGACCATTCCCAAGCTGAGATGACAGGTCACCTGCTTAGGTCAGCAAGGGACCCCTGTGAGCTGCCTCAGCTGGGATTTCTATAGCCCCTTGCAGGGCCTCCAAGGGTTCTGGCCTTCCTTCTCAGCCCTTATTCTGTTTGGCCAGCAACTCCCAGAACTCAGTTCTGCAAGCTGCAGAGTGAAGCAGAAGAGAAGGAGGCTTTGACATGGTTTCATTAAGGAGCTTTGTGGGGCAGCCTGGGTGGCTCAGAGGTTTAGCGCTGCCTTCAGCCTAGGGCATGATCCTGGAGACCTGGAATCAAGTCCCACGTCAGGCTCCCTGCATGGAGCCTGCTTCTCCCTCTGCCTGTGTCTCTGCCTCTCTTTCTCTCTCTCTGTCTATGAATAAAAAAATAAAAATAAACAAAATAAAAAAGAGCTTTGTGAAACTGACTGGCTTGGAGGGGTGAGCAGACGGGGGTCCCCAAAAGAGGCCACCTCTCCTGAAAGGCCCCAACCCCCTCTCCTCTGGCCAGCCTGCCCACCCTGTCCAGTGGCCCCTACCTGCTGCTTGCACTGTTGTCATGGCTAACTTCAGTGAGCTGCCCCTGGGCCTGGGGAGGGAGCCTGAGGACCGAGCTGGGAATGGTCCCCTTATGCTCCAGCAGAAGACAGGCAGGGGCTGACATGAAGGCGAAGTGGAGAAGGCCCCAGGGGAGGAGCCATTGTGGGGCAGGGAGGCCCAGGAGGAACTAGGCAGGGGATAGAACACAGCCTCACAATCCTCCCCTGTTCCAAGATTCTCAAGTTCTGAGCATGGAGTCCAGCCACCAGGAAGAGGCTGGAGGCACCACCCATGAGACTCGGTCTCTGGCAGTTAAGACAAAGCCCTTTTAATAACACCGCTAACGCCATCCCTGATCATATCCATGACTTATGAGAGGTAGGAAGAGTAGGGTGAGCCAGGTAAGGACAAAATGTGACCGGCACCAAAGACAAAGGCCCGGTGCCAGGTTTCATCCTGTGTCCCAGCAAACTGTCAGTAGGGACAGGTGGAGCAAGGATTGTAGCCTTATCCATGAGGTGATGGCCCCCTCATCAGAGCAAGCACCCTTCACAACCATCATTCATTCATTTTTATGGGTTGTTGCCCTGACTTTTCTCAGTCAAGTTCCTTCTGGAGTTCCAACATAGACCTAAGAAGGGAAATGTACATTACACCTCTGCCAGGAGAGAGGGGGTACCAGGAGCTGAGCATAAGACTGGTGGCAGGATCCAGAAAAGCAAGAGCTGTTGGGAGAAGCCCAGCAGGGCCCACTCTGTCCATGGTGGGTCCTGTTCATCTACCTGACTGCTGCAGGCCAAAAGTTGTCATGGGTGTGAAATGCAGACTGGCTCCTCACTGCATCCCACATACCGCATCGCTGAGGAATCCGCTTTCCAATCTGAGCTCCTATCTGAAGTTCACATCATTACAGTGAGAAAAACTGGAAACTGCAGAACAACATGTGGTCTGTGGTGCTACCCATATGCAAACCTTAGTCTTCTAGTTTCAGAGAAGCCTCCTGCAGTGAAAATACATCCCCCTCCCATACGCCTGCACACAGGAGCCAGGATGCACAGGAGCCAGGACGTGTAGTCTCTCCTTTAAAAAAAAAAAAAAAAAAAAAACACAACAAAACAAAACCCAAACCTTATTTAGATGTAATTGTGAGGTCTTTCTTTTAGAGATGACACAACCTTCTTGTCCCTCTGTCACCGCCAAGCCTCCCGAGCATATCCAGGCTCTCTGGGCTCCTCCCATACCAAGCTGGGAAGAATCACCCTTCGGAGCTGCTGTGCTCTGCTCTCATTGCTCAAACGAGTCAGCGGTCCTCCACTGCCTGCAGCACAAAATCCAAGCTCTTCAGTGTAGCATCCGAGAGCTATTGACCATGAGAAGCAGCCCCTACGCAGGTCAGCCCTTCCTCCTCCTCCCACATCACACTTGGCACGTTTTCCCAGGGAACCTGAGTTGACTGGTTTTGTTATTGTTTCTGACAGATCCTCCTTCCCAGACAGAGTCAACAGGCTCCAGGATGTCAGGCTGTCCAAATTCCAGACCTCCATTCCCTGGACCCACTAACCTGGAGCCCACCTAGGGCTGTTTCCTCACCTGTCAAATGGGGTCATAACTGTAGCAACCTCATCAGATTTTTGTGAGAGGTGATTGTGTGTGTGTGTGTGTGTGTGTGTGTGTGTCACGGAGTGGGCATCCAGCATGGCACGTGGTCACTGTCTCCAAGCACTGGGTACTGCCCGGAACCTTGTACAGGAATCTGCATTGACATCAAGTAAGAAAGGACAGTCCTTCTGTCCCCATGTGTAACACAGGGAAGTGTTTCTAGCGGATCTGGTGATCCTTTCCTAGGAGTTAGATGCATATGTGATTTACTAGGCTTGACTTTTCCCCCTCGTGGACACTCTATGTTTTGTTGTGCAATTAGTTTTTTTTTTACTTGGAGATCTCTGCATCTCCATGGAGATGCCCAGGCCCTCTGTCCTCTTACTAGAATAGAAGAGATGTCTCTGTTTGATGGAAGGCCAGGCCCCATGCTCAGATTTTGAAACCCAGATCTTTCCCTGGTTGACTATGTAGGTTCCTAACTATCCCAGAGCATCAGGCATGAAGAGGACATCCACACTCCCTATACTTTTTTAATACTCAGTTTAAGCTCTTATGAATCAAATTTCACAAATCTTTCTTTTCACATCTAAAACACAGCTACAAATAATGTAATTCTCTTCAACAACTTAACCTGTTATAAATAGGGCATGGTTAGTTATTGCAAACACCTCAGCACAGAAAGCATGTACTAATTTCTCACTAAATATCATCATCATTGGGTTGCCTGGGGGCGGGGCTCAGTCAGCTTTTGGCTCAGGTCATGATCTCAGCATCCTGGGATTGGTCCACACATCGGGCTTCCTGCTCAGCAGGGCGTCTGCTTCTCCCTCTGCCTCTTCTTCTCCCCCTGCCTGTGCTCTCCCCCAAATAAAAAAATAAAATCTTTTTTTAAAATATTTTATTTATTCATTCATGAGAGACACAGAGAGGAAGAGAAAGAGGCAGAGACACAGGCAGATGGAGAAGGAGGCTCCATGCAGGGAGCCTGATATGGGACTCGATCCTGGGTCTCCAGGATCACGCCCTGGGCTGAAGGCAGCGCTAAACCACTGAGCCACCCAGGCTGCCCAAATAATTAAAATCTTAAAAAAAGATAACTATCAACATCATCTTCATGATTCCCTTTACTTTTTTGAAAAAAGAGAGGTTTTTTTTTTCTTTTTTTAAGATTTTGTTTATTTATTCATGAGAGACACACAGAGAGAGAGGCAGGGACACAGGCAGAGGGAGAAGCAGGCTCCATGCAGGGAGCCCGATGTGGGACTTGATCCCAGGATTCCAGGATCATGCCCTAAGCCGAAGGTAGACACTTAACCGCTGAGCCATCCAGGTATCCCAATTTCCTTTACTTAAAAAAACAAACAAACAAACAAATAAAAAAACCTTGCTAGAGTTACGGCTATATTTATTTTGGTATTTTTCCAGGGTTAAAGGCCCCAAACAAAAAAGGGTACCATCTATAACTAGCCAAGTTAGGACATTTTGGTTACAGATGGATTCTTGGTGAGGGCTGGAGCTAGGCCATCAGACTAAATTTGCTTTTTAGAAATGTCATTTCCTGCATCAGTCAGATTTGTAAAACCCACACCCTTCACATAGATTTTAGTTCTTTGCAACCTTATGTCTCCCTAAAATGATGCATCTTTTTTTTTCTTTTCTTTTTTTTTTTTTTTAAGATTTTCCTTATTTATTCAAGAGAGACACAGAGAGGCAGAGACATAGACACTGGGAGAAGCAGGCTCTCTGTGGAGAGCCTGATGCAGGACTTGATCCCAGGAACCTTAGGATCACAACCACAACCAAAGGCAGATACTCAACCTCTGAGCCACCCAGGTGCCCAACAATACATCTTTTAAAAAATATTTTATTTTTAAGTAATCTCTACATGCAACGTGGGGCTCAGACTTACAACCCTGAGATCAAGAGTCACATGCTCAGGACACCTAGGGGGTGCAGCTGGTTAAGCATCTGACTCTTGGTTTCAGGTCACGGTCTCAGGGTTGTGGGATCAAGCCCCGCATTAGGCTCTATGCTCAGTGGGGAGTCTGCTTAGGATTCTCTCCCTCTCCTCACCCACCTCCCTACCCTCCCCCATCCCCTACCCTGTGCACATGCACTTTCTCTCTCCCTAAAAAAGTCGCATGCTCTACTGGCTAAGCCAGCCAGGTGCCCCTATAACAATGCATTTTTAAAGTCTTGCTGAAGGGTATTCCAAAACCCATCTTTGGGTTTTTTTTATAATTGATTAACCTAGTCCTGTCATTACAAAATTGTGACTTCATCTGTTAGTATTATTAAAAATTTGTTTGCCTTACCAGCGTTGCATTAAGATTAGCAAGATCTCTAGAAATTTTATTACCCAGAAATGAAGGACTGAATCTTCATGGTGATGTCTTCTCTTCAGGACACTTGGGTGATGTATTACCGACCTGGGAATATGTAGCAAAGCCCGTTCCTTTTTTTTTTTTTTTTAAGATTATATTTATTTATTCAAGAGACACACAAAGAAAAGAGAAGGGCAGAGACATAGGCAGAGAGAGAGGCAGGCTCCTCAGGAGCCTGATGTGGCACTCAATTCTGGGATCTCAGGATCACGCCTGAGCTGAAGTCAGATGCTCAGCCAATGAGTCACCCAGGCGTCCTGAAGCCCGCTCCTTGCCTGGCTTTTGTGTGTGAGCACTGCAACAGGCACCTGCCTGTTTTTGTGAATAATCACCAGTCCAGGGGCACCTGGGTGGCTCAAATGGTTAAGCATCAGGAACCCCTGGTGGCTCAGCGGTTTAGTGCTGACTTTGGCCCAGGGCGTGATCCTAGAGACCCAGGATCGAGTCCCACCTTGGGCTCGCTGCATGGAGCCTGCTTCTCCCTCTGCCTGTGTCTCTGCCTCTCTCTGTCTCTTATGAATAAATAAATAAAATCTTTTAAAAAAATGGTTAAGCGTCTACCTTTGGCTCAGGTCATGATCCCAGAGTCCTGGGATCAAGCCCCATGTCAGGCTCTCTGCTCAATGGGGAGCCTGCTTCTCCCACTCCCTCTACCTGCCGGTCCCCATTTGTGCTGGGAAAATCAACACATACACGTATGTTAGAAATCTCCTACTGTATTCATTTGCTAGGCTACACGACAAAGTACCACAGATTGAGCAACTTAAAACAATTCATGAGCCAGTAGCCAACATGTGGCCAGGCTGTGTACCCACCTGGAAGCCCGAGTGGGGAAAGATTCACTGCTGGGCCGTTGGGCTGTTGGATGGACTCACTTCCCTAGCTTCTTACTGGCTGTTTCAGCCACCCTCAGATCCTAAAAGCTGCCAGAGGTCCCCTGCCCCGGGGCCGTCCCCAGAGGCCATTGACAACATGGCTGTTTGCCTCTGCAAGGATGGCAGGAGTGAGTTTCTAGCCTCAGAAGAGACCAAGTCCCCCTTGAAAGGGCTGTTATCTAAGCCAAGCTCACCCAGGATCACCTCCCTTCCAATTAACTCAAAATCTACGGATTTTGAACCTTAATTACATCTTGTACACTCCCCACATCTCTGTAGTATTCTACTAGCTAGAGGGGAGCCACGGGCCAGCCCACATCACAGGAGGGGATGAGAGTGGGCAGAGATCACGGGGGCCACTCGGGGTCTGTCTCCACAGCCACTTACTGAAGGCAGTGGGCATTATGCAGATGTCTGACCCTCTGCACCTGCAGCCACGCTTGTGCAGCTTCATAGTAACGTGTCCCCTGGGGCTCCATGGGCCTGGCCCTGCAGGCTCTCTGAGCTCACTGTTACTTGCCTCACGTCTCTCCGGCCCCAGCCACGCCGCCTCCCTGCGGGTCCTGGGCTGTTGCATCTGACATTCCTGGCTTGTGCTTCACTCACATCCTCGCCCCTTTATTCGCCGCCCCCCCCTCATGGAGCCCTATCAGGGAAACCCTAAAACTACGCAGAGAGGCAGTCAGTAGGGATGAGGAACGCAGGCTCTGGGGCCAATGCCTGAAGGCTGAATCCCAGCTGCCTCTAGGCAGTGTGACCTCCCCAAGCCCCAGGGTCAGCCTTTGTCAAGTAAGGCCAACAGTCTGAGCCCTTGCGGCAGCGGTCTGGCTAATGCACCTGAGTGTCCAACCTCTCCTTTCCACCTGGGCTGAGAGTGGACCCTGGTGCGGCTTCAGGGTCAGCTTGCCTGCATTCCTGCCCATCCAGAGGCCCTGGTCAGGGATCCCACCCTGCTCTGGTCCTTTTTGGTTTCTGGAGAAATTTCCTTTATATATTTTTTTCCTCAATTTCATGTCCTTTGGATCAGGAGGCATATTGGCTACCTATAGAGGCCTCTCCATACCTCAATCAAGTTCATTCTGTCTCCCATTTCTCCAAATCACTTCCACTACCTGCCCCACGTCCAACCACTCTCCAGCATTTACTGAGTACTCACAATGCCTAAAGCACTTTACCAGGCAGCAAATCAGCCTGTCAAACAACCCCAAAGTTCATGTTCCTTAAGCTTCCTTTAGTTGGTGATCTTCACCATTTAGGGATAATGAGAGACAGACAATAGCTGCAAAATATAAATTGGGAAAAGATCATAGAACACTTCATCCTTAAAACATGTACTTGGAAATACAGTAGGAGACCAGAAAGAGGAATTCAGGAATTCTATAAGACCTTACGCTAAAGGCAGCAGTAACATACAGCTGATGTTTGTTTTTTTAATTTAATTTGAGAGGGAGGGAGAGAATGCACAGTGTAGAGGGTGGGGGAGGAGCAGAGGGAGATGGACAAGCAGACTCTGCACTGAGCTGGGAGACCAACCTGGGGCTTGATCCCACGACTCCAAAGTCAGGACCTGAGTGGAAACCAAGAGGCAGATACTCAACCAGCCAAGCCATGCAGGTGCCCCAAGCCGATGTTTTAAGAGATTAGACCACAGGCTCTTTAGAGCAGGAAACTGGGCTCTTTCTGTACCTGCACCCACACTGTCCTTGGCCTGCTGTTCAGTGGTTTGAAAGTAACTTAGGAATTGCTGTTGGGACAGGTTCTTGTGTGGGAGACCTCGGCAGGTTCCTGCCTACACCCCCCAGGCCAGCACAGCTGGGTGAGCTCTTTTTTTTTTTTAGGGTGAGCTTTCTGTTCACTTGGGATCTGACACCTGTGACTATACGAGGGGGTGAGGACACCACCACTGGTGACTGGTATTTGCCTCCCATCTCACCGTCAGGTCCAAAGCAACAGAGGGGACTGGAAATTCATGTTGTCCTGGGCACCGGTCCCAGCCTTGCCACTGCCTGCTTCTAAAGAGAAAATCACAATGACAATTTCTGACTGTTCTGTGTGAGACCTACCTCTGTTGCCTAGGAGATCTGGGAATCTTGGCAGGGACCCCAAGAGGTGAGATCCTTGCTCCCTCAAACCCCCAGTCCCTAGGACATACCAAAAGAACTGGATGTTGGCTAATGCATACTCGAGCCTGGAACTTTGGGTCTGCAGTGAGACAGAGGGAATGGGCAGAGGGCAGCAGCAGCAGCATCCAGGGTCTGGAACTGAGCGGAGGCCATGGCACTGGGGCTGTTACTATGGCAGGATGTGCATGGTGATTTGGGCTCTCAGGTACCCCTCTTCCTGCTGGTTTACTGAACCTGGTTTTCTAACCTGCTGTGGATTCTATGAGTTACACAAGACTCACTGCCATGGATTCCCTTCCACCTTTCAGTCTGCAACCCAGCTGTGTGGACACTGATAAATCACTTTATCTAGCTGTGCCTTTGAGCACTGTCACATGGGCTGGTAACAGCCACTGGGACTGGCCCAACACAGGCTGCACTCTTCTTTCCCAGGGGAAGCTCCCAGAAAAGATGTGGCTGACTTGGGCTCAACTTTTTGAGAATAAAAATGAAATGGATGTCAATTTGTAATATTCATTAACTTGGCTTTATGTGCAGATTTCAAATCAGAGATACACCCATGAAATGTTTAGAAACCGTTTTTCACTCTTACTTTTCTGAAAATGACTCAAACTTCTTTTTGTGTTGCTATCACCACGGTGTCCCCATCATGCCAATGCTCCCCTGTGCCAGCAAAACAGATTTCCAGGGCTCATCATCTTGTCTTTTTTTTTTTTTTGGATTGTTTGAGCTACAACATTTTTTAAAATCCTGTGTGATACTGTCACTAGTAAGTTATCTCATTCATGTAGAACTAGGATAGTTGCTTTTACCATATGTCCTTAAAAAAAAACACGCCTTTTTAAATTATAAAATATAATAGAGAAGATTGTCTGAGACATAAATGTTGTGAGTTATCATAAAGCAAAACTGACATAACCACTGCCCTGGTCAAGAACTAAAACACTGGCAGCAATCCCAAAGCCTCTACACATCCCCTTGGTGCTCCAAAGGCATCCGCGCCCTGGTTTTTATGGTAATGTTATGGTAACCACTTCCTTATCTTTATATTTTTACCAAAAATATACATCTACAAACATTGTAATTCTTGCCTATTTTCGAACATCACATATAAAAGGGATCACATATACTCCTTTAGGCTAGCTTTTTTTATTCACCATATGTTCTAGATTCACCCCCGTTTTTGCATCGAGTTGCATTTCATTTTTTGTTACTGATAATATCCCGCCGTATGACTAGATCACATTCATCTGTTCCACAGCTGATGGACCCTAGGGGCCGTTAGAAACAATGCTGCTGAGAATGTTCTCACATGTGCTCCCGAAGTGTGTACTGGTAAAGGCCCTGCTGACCACAGGACGGGCCTAGCTTCAGGTTCATTGGATAGTGTCAGACTGACTTCCCCAGGGGTAGCAGCAACTTATACTTCCACTTGGCCTAACCTATAGGCAACACCTTGTGGGTTTAATTCCTATTCCCCTGCTTTCTAGCTAAAATTGAGTATTTTGTCAGGTCTATTAGCCATTTGTAGTTCCGCTTTCTTCTTAAGTGCCTGTTCAGGTCCTTTACCTTTTTCACAATTTAAATGTCTGGGGGCACCTTGGTGGCTCAGTGGTTGAGCTTCCACCTTTGGCTCAGGTGGTGATCCCAGGATCCTGGGATTAAGTCCTGCATCAGTCTCCCCGCAGGGAGCCTGCTTCTCCCTCTGCTGAGTCTCTGCCTCTCTCTCAATGTGTTAAATAAATAAATAAATAAATAAATAAATAAATAAATAAATAAAATCTTTAAAATTAAAAAATAAACAATTTAAATGTCTGTCTTTTTCTTACTGACTGGCAGTTCTTCCTATGTTCTGGATCCTAGCCCTTTGTTGGTTGTGTGTTGCAGATATCTTCTGTTCTGTGACTTGCCTTTTTTACCTTTTTAATGGTGTCCTGATAAAGACCCATTTTTGACTTTAAAGTAGTTGAATTTATAATCTTTTCTGTTATAGGTGGTGCTTTCTACATCTCTTTTGTAGAAATCCTTGCCTACCTCAATATTTTTAAGATATTTTCTTATATGGAGGCACCTGGGTGGCTCAGTCGGTGAAGTGACTCTTGATTTCAGCTCAGGTCTTCATCTAATGGTCACGAGTGAGCCCCACGTTAGGTTCCATGTCGGGTGTGGAGCCTACGTTTAAAAAAAAGAGAGATTTTCTTATATTTCTTCAAGAAGTTTTGCTTTTCACATTTAAATCTGTAATTAGAGTAGCCATAAAGCTAGGTTTATAACTCCCGTCCTAGCATCTCTTCCAGTTAGCAATCCCTTTTACTCTTAAGAGCATCTGGAAATTTCCTTAGGCTTTTCTTCTTGGAATGAGTTAGCAACAGTTGATTCTAATCCTAGCCACCAGAGATTACTGGGTTTTGGAGAGGTACAGAGAAGCATACCAGAATGCCTCAGAAGAACCAGCCTGGGCCTGGCTTTCACGCCTAGTGGTGGGGTGGCACCCATTCTTGGTGCTCTGCCTGCCTGGGAGAGCTGTGGTGAGCCCAGCAGAGCTGAGGCCAGGAACTCCCTTATCAGTCACCACCCAGGGCAGAGCCTACCTGTGGCAACCATCAGCAGAGCTCCATTTCAGTGCTGGAAAGAGAGTTGATGGGATTTGAGATAGGAAGCATCACTCCAGAGTATGTTAATAATAAACTTCATTTGTGTAAATGATGGAAAAACACAATGAAGGACATTTTAGGTACAAGTGGCTTGTCTGATGAGTTATATTTCTGGAATCAGATATACAGTATGTTTCTTTTACATGCAAGTAAAAACATAGATTACGGTTTGGTTTTTGAACAGTCTGTGTGAATTTGCGGCCATTAGAAATTCCTGGGCACGTGGTGGGGCTCAATCGGTGCAGCATATGGATCTTGATCTTGGGGTTGTGAGTTCAAGCCCCACACTGGGTGCAAAGTTACTTAAAAATCTTTTAAAAAAAAATAAATACGAAGTTCTTCAAACTACTGTCAACCAGGAGCCATCATGTGGTCTGGTGCAGAGTGCTGCATACAGTAAGTGCAAAGTCCATCCTGTGTGAGAAGCCTCTGGCCCAGGAGAGTAACAGACCTGTATACCTACTGGTGTATAAATAATCAGGACTTTAAAGGTATGAGTGCAAGCTTTCTGTTGCTTCCTGGGGCATAGTTTATGTTTCGCAAACTAGCCTGGGTTTTGTCTACTACTGACCCTTGTACTTTACCAATGACCTTATCACTTTACCCTCCTCCACCTCTTATTAAACACCTTTATACACACAGCTCAAATACACCTCTATGGGTTATAGTACTTCCTGTCTTCTCGTGTAGTTCTCACGCCTTCTCCCTGATTGGACCTTTTCTGTTCCAGGTAAAAAGGTCTCTCAGCCAGTTTGAATCCCCAGCATTGCTAGCACTAACCTAACATGTAGGTTAGGCATAACTCCAAAGATGGCTGTTGAATGAACTCTTGCCTTGGCCATGTCTGTGGGAGTCTGGATAATCAGACAACAGAGATGGTGGCTAACACTGGCTTCCATGTTTAGCTCACTGTTTGCTGCTGTTTTAGATTTTAGGTGTTGTAGGTTTCTTCATAGAAACAAAAACAGTTTTTCACTTTAAGGCATCGTTGCCTAGATGAATCAGGACATGCACGTGAACTTTGGAGTTGTCCTTTTCAACAGATGGTTTCAGCAAATTTTCCTCTGCCAGAGATTCAGTCGGGGGGGATGGGTAGAGTGGGTTGGGGAATGTCACATTCTTAACTGCTTCCTCTAGCACCTTAATAACTCGGTACAGTGTGGGATAGTGGGAGTGAGGCACTACTGACGGAGCAGTGACGAGGGGTAGCTGAAGTCCCTGAGCAATGCTGCCCAGGGTCCCGCCTTACCAGTACCAGGCTCACAGGCAGACATCTGACTTGTGGGCTTTACAAAGGGAGGGATAGGGGCACCTTGGTGGCTCAGTGGTTGAGCATCTGTGTTTGGCTCAGGTCATGATCCCAGGGTCCTGGGATTGAGTCCCACATCGGGCTCCCTGCTCAGTGCAAAGTTTGCTTCTCCCTCTACCCCACTTCCCCTGCTGGTACTTTCTCTTTCAAATAAATAAATTAAATTTTAAAAAAAGAAAGTCACTCCCTCAAACTTATTGCAGTGTGGTCAGGGATATATATAGGAAAACAATAAGACAGGATGTGGTGGGCACAGAATAAAGAACATACAAAATGAGGGCATAATAACCCATGTCTGGATCCCTGGGTGGCTCAGCGGTTTGGCCCCTGCCTTTGTCGTGATCCTGGGGTTCCAGGATCCAGTCCCATGTCAGGTTCCTTGCATGGAGCCTGCTTCTCCCTCTGCCTGTGTCTCTGCCTCTCATAAATAAATAAATAAATAAATAAATAAATAAATTAATAATAAAATCTTAAAAAAATAATAACCCATGTCTGTGTTCCTCTGGGTTTAGTGAGACATGACCTATGATCTGAGACTTATGGCTGCATGAGAATGGACAGTGGAAGGAGGATGCGTATGGCATGTGGTAACAGTGGGGGCTGCATAGGAGAAGTTTAGAGGTCCGATGGGGCGAGGGGCACAGCAGCAAATTCTGCCAAGGCTGGAGCCTAAAGATTCAGAGAAGCACCACAAAATTGAGGCTACCATGGAAGGTAGACATGGTGGGGAAGAGCCAGCGATTTGGAAAGCCTGAGCTCTCTCCTGTGGCTGATGGTCAAGTGTTGGGGAAATCAAGACTGTCCAGCATGTCTATCCAGCCATCCCTCCCTGACCCAAAAATGAGAGACAGATACAGTAATGTCCATCATCCTGAAAGCAGCCCTCTATCGATCATTTGGAATGCCTCTCAACCCAGTGTTGCTTCTGAAACTCTGAGACTTGACACAAATGGCCAAGAGCCTCAAACTCAAATATGCAGAGACAATAATAACAACACTAGTAATATGTGAGCGCTTGTAAGTGCTTTACATGTACCTTCTCATTTCATCCTCCCTCCAGCCCAAAGACACGGATGGTGTTATTCCCATTTTACAGAGGAGGACACAGGCTCAGAGGTATAGTAATTCATATTAAGTGATGGAGCTGGGTGGGATATGAACCTACTAGTGTCTGGCCCAGGAGAGAAGTGGGAAGAACGATAGACAGGACACAAGAAACGGAGGTTAAAATGAAAGAGCAGGGGCGCCTGGGTGGCTCAGTGGTTGAGTGTCTGCCTTTGGCTCAGGGCTGATTCCGGGGTCCTGGGATGGAGTCCTGCATCAGGCTCCTTACAGGGACCCTGCTTCTCCCTCTGCCTGTACCTCTCATGAACAGAATAAATAAAAGTCTTAAAAAAAATAAAATGAAAGAGCAGAAATAGGAAGGAGGACTCTCAGCTGTGGTGAGGGCAGATTTAAAATGCAGGCCTCCTAGCAATAAGTGAAGAGAGTCACCTCTGCATGGGCTGAAAGGACTGGGGTGAGGAGGGTGCAGTGTTGGTGGCAGGGGGAGGAATCTTGGATCCCCAGAAGTTCCACTGGGTGAGAGGAGGAGAGTTCAGGGAAACTGGAATGAATTGTGTCACAGCACAGGTGCTCTGCAGGGGCCCTGGGGCACTCCTAACTCAAGGCTTCTTTTAACATGGAAACTGAGGCCAAGTAGAAGAAATGGCTACAAAGTGTCACCGACGGAACAGAATAGAGGCCCCCTGATCACCAAATGACTACTGCTCTGCTGTCTGGCAGCTACTTGTCCTCCTGCTAATAGAGCCTCCTTTTCCTCCGAGGAACCATCCCTTGTCTCACTGAGCCCTCCTGCCATGGGTCTTTGTGAGCTGGGGCCGCTATAACACAAATATCACAGACTGGGGGTGCTCAAACCACAAACACTGAGCTCTTGCAGCTCTGAAGCTGGAAGTCCAAGATCCAGGCACCGGCAGGTCCCCGTGTCCAGTGACAGCCTGCTTCCTGGCCTGGCTGGAAGACAACCCCCGCCACCACCCCCACCCCCACTGTATCTTGACAAGGGGAGGGAGCGTGGGCTCTTCTGCGTTTCTTATAAGGGCGCTACCTACTTTTTTTTTTTTTTAAAGATTGTATTTATTTATTCATGAGAGACAGAGAGAGAGAGAGGCAGAGACACAGGCAGAGGGAGGAGCAGGCTCTATGCAGGCAGCCCGTGGTGGGACTGGATCCTGGGTCTCCAGGATCACGCCCTGGGCTGAAGGTGGCGCTAAACCGCTGAGCCACCTGGGCTGCCCCAAGGGTGCTACCTTCTTAGGAGGGCTCCACCTCTGTGACCCAATAACCCGCCACCAGGGCCTCATCACCAAACACCACGCCACTGGGGATTAAGGTTTCAATGTATGAATACTAGGGGGACACAAACATACAGTGTACAATAACCCACATCTCCAGACTAAGTCAGTTCACAAAAGCTACGCTGAAGGTTACACACAAGACCACAAAACTGTCCAGGATGAAGCAGAGGCTTTTCTGCCTCTCCTCCCACTGCTGGCGTTAGCCTATATGGGCCTTCCCACAACACAGCTGGTCTGCAGCCTCAGAAAGGAGCAGGGGCGAGAACCAGAGCACAGAGGCGAACTGGGTCCCAGCCACAGGGTTTCCCCCTCTATGTCAGGCTGTGTCTGGCCTGCCAACAGTCACATCTGTTTTTGTTTGTTTGTTTGTTTGTTGTTTTTAATCTCCATCCTCACTGTGGGGGTAGCTCCCGGGGTTGTCGACTGGGTGGAATGAGGTGCAGGAGCCTCACCTGCATCTGGGCCTGGCAGCCAGAGAGGACTCTCATCTGAGCTAGCACTAGGCGCTAGGTTGGCCGCCTCCCATTACCTTTTCTGTCCGTGGCAACACGAGTCTGAACAAAACAGTGGCCTGTTATGGCCACAGCCCCATGCTGTCCCCGCAGAATCACAAGTTTGGAGGATTTCTCCTGAGAAGGATAAAGCCTTGAGTTTGCGTGCTCAAAGGCGACATTCAGTTAGAGGGGGAACCACCCAGGCATCCGCAGCCGCCAGCTCTCCTCCTCCCACCTCGGGTCGCCACGGTGCTGCCCTCCAGGGCTCCCGGCCGCCCCCTCCTCGCCTTACGTGCTGAGAACACACGGCTGCCGGGCAGGTCCAGGGGGGACGGCGGGCCGGGTCCTGGGAGGCGGGTCCTGGGGTCGGCGGGCCGGGTCTTGGCGGGCCGGGTCCTGGGAGGAGGGTGGGGGGGTGCCGGCAGGGGGCTCTCGGGGACGACGGGGGCGTCGGCGGTCTGCAGGCCCGCCCGGCTCCCGGGAGCGCGCGGAACCCCCGCCGCACCAGACGGCCGCCGCACTCGCCCCCGCGACCCCGGAAGTGGGTGGGCGCGCGACCCCCAGGCGGGCCGGCGATGCGGGGCGCCGCAGCCAATCGCGCGCGCCCGGCCTTGCGTCACGACGAGGCCGGCCAATGGGCGCGGGCCTGGCCGCCGCTTCCTGCCGGCCCGCTAGCCCCGGCCGCCGGGGGAGGGCCGGCCGCTCGCCCCGCCGCCGAGGCACGATCGCCGCGACCCCGCCCGCCGGGCGCCAGCCCAGGTGAGTGCGGCGGCGGGCCCGGGCAGTGGGAGGGGCGCCGCAGTCCCTCCGGACGGGTGGGGGCGGCGGAGGGCAGGGGCGCCCCCTCTTCCCGCCGCTGCGCGGGTGGGAGAGGCTGTGCGGGCGCCGGCGCGGTTCCCCTGAGCGCCCGGTGACGCCCCCGCCCCAGCCTTCGCGCGGGAGGGACCGGGGAAGCGGGTTGCTGGCGCCTGCGGGTTTAGAGGAGCGAGCTGCGCGGAGCCCGTTTGTCCCTCCCCTAGGCGGCAGTAGGAGCGGATCTGCCCGTCGTGGGATTAGCACGGGCAGATGGTGAGGGCGGGGCGCTCCGGCTGTGCCCCTGGTGGTCGGGCGGGGGGCCCACCTGTCGCCCAAGCGCGCGAGGCCGGAATGAGACCAGGCCGACCTGCCCGCTGTGATGCGGGGTGGGATGGGGTAGGGTTCACCCCCAAACTGCCGGCTCAGGGCATCTCCTGCCCAGTGCGGCCAGCGGATCCTGCTTCAGGAAGGACTCAGCCACCGGACGTGTCCTGCTATTTTCTCCCGCGTCTCTGGACCCTGCTTTCCGACAGCCCCCGAAAGAGGCAGGCAGTAAGCAGCCATCAGAAATCAGGGCTCTTTCTGTTTGCACAGGGAGTGTACTAGAAAAACAAACCAGCTGCAGACCTTTCAGGAAGGAGCCCTAAGGCAGACGCAGGGAAATAGATGCTTCAGGAGCTCCCTCGGTACCTTGTGTCCCTCCCTCCACCATGCCCTGGCCCTACCCCCGCCCCTCCCACCGCTTCACCTTCCTTTGAGGACCTTTTGGTCTCTGAAGGGACCTATTAGTAAACCCGTGCAGAAGCGCAGATGGTTCTGAGGGCGGTGAGCAGGTCTTCTTAGTAGATTGACCAAGACCAAAGGTCCAACTGGAATTCATTGTACAAAAGTTCTTGGTGAATCCGAGGTTTCTTTCTTGGAAACTGTCCTCTCTAGCCTTACAAAACAAAGAAATCCCAGGATCACAGAACCATGGGACTCAATGCTCAAACCTCCCTTTCAAGAGTTTCAAGAGTCCCCTGACCCAGTGACCCAGTGACCCAGTGTCCCTGGATTGGCTATCTGGTCACCTCACAGCCAGGAAGTGGCATATGATGAGCTGGGGTGGCATCCTGGTAAGAGCAGAAAGAGGGTGAGGCTGGCCAAGGATGTTCACCCCTGTCATCTTTAGCTAGGAAGCTATGGTGCCTCCGTGTCCACTCTGGAGGGAGTTCGCAAACATAACCCCCCATCCTGTCCTTTCTCTGCAGTAGAGAGTCTTTTGTTAGCTGCCTGGAAGGTTAAATTATGTCTATATGGAAATTAGTGCTTAGTCATCATCTTTCTGAAAGGAAGTGTATTAAATACAAGTGAAAGTCACTATTCATTGAGCTAAACCTACAGATAGCCTGACTTTGCTGGTTTCTTGTACTGTGAACTGTGACCCGAGAGATAGCTTTAAAGAATAGATTTATAGTCATATAACATTATAGGAGCCAAAATTCTCTTCACCCCCAAAATTCTTACTTTCCCCCCAACAATTTATGATGAAGATATTCAAACACACAGCCAAGTTTAAAGAATTAACACCTACACCTACCACCTAAATTCTACTGTTGATCTTTTACTCTTCTTGTTTTATCACATATGTATCCACCTGTCTTGACCTTTTTTTTTTTTAAGATTTTATTTATTTATTCATGAGAAACACAGAGAGAGGCAGAGGGAGAAGCAGGTTCCATGCAGGGAGCTCAATGTGAGACTCAATCCCAGAACCCCAGGATTATGACCTGAGCCCAAGGCAGACGCTCAACCGCTGAGCCACCCAAGTGCCCCTTGATCTTCCTTTAAACCTTAAGTCATTGCTGACATTTGGTTTCCGTGGAACAGGATTTCCATCTTAGCCCAGGGAGTTGGCCATGCAGTTGATGTAGGTGGCCGTGATTCTCCGTAAACTTTGGGTGAACACCCACTATGTGCTGAGCACTGTTAGGTGCCAAGGAAGTGAAGAAGCTGAAGACTCAGGCTGAAGAGGAAGGGATTTGATATTTCCTGTTTCTAAGAGTTAGGAGATAACCAGTAGTTTTTTTTGTTTTTGTTTTTTTAAGATTTTATTTATTTATTCCTGAGACACACACACACAGAGAGAGAGAGAGAGAGAGAGAGAGAGAGAGAGGCAGAGACACAGGCAGAGGGAGAAGCACGCTCCATGCAGGGAGCCCGATGTGGGACTCGATCCCAGGTCTCCAGGATCACACCCTGGGCTGAAGGCAGCGCTAAACCACTGCGCCACCTGGGCTGCCTGATAACCAGTAGTTTTAACGTAGGTGCCAAATAATAAAACGACACCAGTAATGCTTGCTGAGTTTTTGCTGCGTACCAAATACAGAGGCTCTGTACCTGTGTTATCTCACTTCATTCTTACAAGGACTTTGTAGGACTTTGTAAGTAGGTCGGTGTTCCTTTCTGCCTTTCACAATTTAAGAAATCAAGGCACAGAGAGGTTAGCTGGCTTTGGTTGGTGGCAGAAAGGGATGGAGCCAAGACCCAGATTCCAACAGTCTGGGTCCAGGGTGGCTCTGGGCACTCTTAGCCACAGTGTAGATGCCAGAGGGGGGATAGTGGGCCCACAGGCTTGGCCAGGCAAGAGTAACCGCAGCTCTTCCACCTGGATGCAGATACGCTCCAGAAGGCTGGTGTTGTGACTTCCCATGTGTTTGACCCGGACTTGGTGCCAGCGTGGAGAGGTCAGGGTTCTGGGAGGTCTCCCAAAGCAGGGCTCCTGTTCCTTCTGTTTGTCTTCCTTCTCATCCCTTGGTTACTTCCTTCCTAGCCTGCACTCTGTTTGGTATTTGTGAGACATGCTTTGTTCCAGAAGAGCCTCTGTGCCTGTAGCAGACGCTCCCATTCTCAGACACTTAGCACCCGTCATCCCCTCCCAAGCGCCCACAGCATCGGGTGTACTGCGGGTGTGGAACAGCCTGGCCCAGCAGCAGCCTCGAGGCGCCTGGCCTGCTGGCTGTCTCCTAGTGGCTCTGCCCCCCTACTGGCTCTGGGGCAGTGTCAGGCTGAGCTTCTCGCTGTCCCCCACCCCCAGGCTGCTGTCCTCCAGCTGGGGAGGTTCTGGCCTTCTGGCCCTGAGGTGGTAGGAGGCTTGACCCTTCTCTAAGCCACTCTCCAGGAATTAGGCCCCAGGGAGCACCAGCACAGTCAGCCCTGGAGGTGTGGGGGTGGCCAGTCCTAGAATTTACTGGCCGCTGCCCACCTGCTGCAGAGTGGAGAGGGAGAGGACCGCAAAATGAGTTGGAGTGGGGGATGGCAGATGGGGACGGGTCCAGGAGGAGAGGGTGGTAGTCACACACCAGGACGCCAAGGACAGGACCCTCATGTCCCCGCCACATAGCTGCAGGGCTCCCATAGGACCAGACACAGCTCTGGCCAGGGTGCCAGATCCCTGAGGACGCCTTCACCAGAACCCGCATGGATGAGAAGACCTGCCCACCATGGGGGCAGAGGCCTCCCAGAGAGGCAGCGATGGGCATAGGCTTTAACAAACTTTGGGACTTCTCATGAATTCTTTCTTTTTGTTTTGTTTAAAATTATAAATTTATTTATTCATGAGAGACACAGAGAGAGAGGCAGAGATATAGGAAGAGGGAAAGCAGGTGCCCTGCGGGGAGCCTGATGTGGGACTCCATCGCAGGACCCTGGGTTCACGACCTGAGCCAGAGGCAAACGCTCAACTACTGAGCCACCCAGGTGCCCCTCATTTATTCTCTTGATGAGAAAGAGCGAGGCTGTGACCAAAATAATAATATTCATTAAATTGGGGGAGGTAGACACTTGGATGTTGCAATGTCCCCTCCGTACATTTTTGCATTTGGAAGCACTGCCCTAGACGCTGGCGGCGGACATTGACCTGGCCTCCTGCTGCCAGCCCTCCTCCCGCAGCCGCCACCACTACCATCACCACCGCCACCGCCACCATGCCCAACTCCGTGCTGTGGGCGGTGGACCTCTTCGGGAAGGTGTACACGTTGTCCACGGCGGGGCAGTACTGGGAGCTGTGCAAGGACAACCGGCTGGAGTTCAAAAGGGTCAGTGCAGCCATGCAGTGCTGCTGGGGCATCGCCTGTGACAACCAGGTCTACGTTTACGTGTGTGCCAGCGATGTCCCCATCCGCCGCCGGGAGGAGGCCTACGAGAACCAGGTGGGGCCGCCGAGTGGGGGCTGGTGTCCTGGGAAGTCAAGTCCCCCCCCATCACCACCCCGCCAGATCGTGGCCGAGTCCCATGTCAGTTTCCTCCATTCTGCTTCTGGTTCGAGTCACCATGTGGTCAGGGTCTTGGGGGTCAGAGTCCCCATTGTGTCTTTATAAAGGCAAGCTGGCCAGGTCTGTGTGAGGGTAGGCTCCAGCTCCATGGGTGTCCAAGAGCCTAGGACCGAGCAGTGACCTCTCCTGTCACCCCTCAGGGCTCTGTGTCCTGTGGCCAGTTCTCTGTCCTTTGGGGCCATGCTGGCATGCTGACTCTGGGTGACCAGCCATGGGTGGCTCTGGTCCCTGAGTTCCAGGCAGGCCCTCTGCTCACTTTCCATCCCCGAGATCAGCAGGAAGGCCCTAGTGGTGGGGTTCCACTCACCCCCGAGAGGCCCCTACCGCCCTAGGCCAGCTGTGGACCTAAGGCCTGTCTCTGCCTCCTGGCCCTCAGCGCTGGAACCCCGTGGGTGGCTTCTGTGAGAAGCTCCTGCCAAGTGACCGCTGGCAGTGGAGCGATGTGAGTGGGCTCCAGCAACGGCCACTGGATGGGGTGGCACTGCCCTCACCGCACTGGGAGTGGGAGTCGGACTGGTATGTGGATGAGAACTTTGGAGGGGAACCCACCGAGAAAGGGGTAGGTAAATTCAGCTCCCACTGTGGCTCCCGTGTGGGCAAGGAGTGCTTTGGGCTGGATCCGTACCCCCGCTGCCATCTCCCACGCCCCCTGTCCAGCCTCAGCCACTGCCCTGCATGCTCCCGACCTCTGCTCGGGATGGGTGGCCTTTGGGGCTTTGGGTACCACCACTGCCTCCCTCCCCCTCTTCCTCCCTGCTCTCTGTCTGTCTCCAGTCGGTCCTTCCCTAGGAGCCCGACAGAGCCCCCCTGCTTGGTATTTCAGGGGTGGACATACGCCATCGACTTCCCTGCCACCTACACCAGAGACAAGAAGTGGAATTCTTGCGTGCGGCGTCGGAGGTGGATCCGGTACAGGAGATACAAGTCTCGGGACACCTGGGCCAAGGTCTGCACCTGAGTGTGGCCTGGGGGTGGAACAGCAGTCCCGCTGTTGAGATAATCGCAGGGACCTTCCTGCCCGCCCAGCCTACCTCTGCACTGGAGGATACCAGGCCCACCTTGGTACCTAGCCTTTGACATGTTTCCTGTCCCAAGAACACTATGGTCCTGTGTGTTCCTTTGCATGGGAACTGGCTATACAGGAAGCCAGACTAGACTGTGGCCCAGGACAGCATAGAACTTGACCTGACCCTGGTCTCCAGGGTGTTCTGTCCCAGCCTTTGGCCCCATCTGTGCACTTCCTCCCTCAACCCCCACAATGACTCTCATATTATTCCCATGACCCCCCAAAAACCTTGCAAACTTAGGGCCATGAGGCCTGGACTAGGATCCTGTGTGGCCTTGCAGGAGAGGAAGGCCTTGGACCTTCCTCTGGAGGGTTCAAGTCTGGTGGGACTGCTAGTCCAGCCTGCCAGGGCTTTGCACTGGAAGCAGCCCACAGAGCAGGGTAACAGCCAGCATCATGAAGGGCTTACCCCACTGGACCAGGTCCTGGGATCAGCCCCCATCTAGGTGAGGGGTTGGAGCCACAGTGATCAGGCTGCTAAAAGGCACAGAGCCAAGGCCTCGCGTGTACATCTGTCTTCTGTGCTGGAGCAGCAGGACCCCTCGGATTACAGCCCTGGCCTGGTGGCCAATGGAGGGAGGACAGGACAGAGGGGACCCAGGGCTAGGAGCTCTCTGTCCGAATGCTGCCTTCTCTCTGAAGTTTGGTAGTTGTGGGCTGAACTGGAGGATAGGAGTGTGCCTCCCCCTGGGGGTGGGGTGGGGGTGGGAGGGAGGGAGCTTTGGGGAGGAGGGTGTGTACCACTCAGGTGTCCACCAGGAGGGGAACAATGCCACCTACCGGCCAGGTGTCCACAGGCACTGACTGCCCCTGCCACATACCTCCTTGTTTCAGATCCCTTCGAAGGATGACCCCAAGCAACTGCCCGACCCCTTCAATGACCTCTCTGTGGGGGGGTGGGAAATCACAGACGAGCCCGTGGGCCGCCTGTCCGTGTGGGCTGTGTCTCTGCAGGGCAAGGTAAGGTCTGCGTCCCCCTGTGCCTAGGATGGGAGGTGGCTGAGGGAGGCTGGCTACAGGGAGGAGCAGGGCAAGAGAGAAACTGGCCTTCCGATGTCCTCCCAGAGGTGGAAGAGGGGTGGCAGCTACCTTGTCCTCTCCTGTCCTTACAAGGGAGACTACCCTGAGAAGGCAAGGCAGCATGTTACTGGGGTCCCCCAGAAGCCTCTGACATCCCATCCCATGCCTGGTCCTGGCCTGTCCCTTCTCTGAATCCCCAGAGCATTGATCAGTGCCCTTCCTGAGCTCAGATGCCATCAATATTGTCTCCTCAGATTCTGAGCTCCCTGCCTATTCCTTTCTGCTGGTTCCCACACAGCAGTCTGCAATAGTATTGTGGATGGGGGATGGATGTATATATGGATAGGTGAATGGATAGGTGGAGAGATGGGTGATGGATAGGTAGGTGGGTAGGTGGGTGGATACATGTATGGATGTGTGAGAGATGGGTGATGGGTGAGTGGGTGGATGATAGGTAGGCGGATGATAGGGTGTGTGTGTGTAGGCCGATGGATATTTAGAGAGGAGAAGAGATTCTTCTCTCAGAGAGTTTATGAACAAAGGCATAAAGCCAGCCCCTGTTGGCAGGAGCAACATGGGTGGTCCAGCTGGCAGGCAATTCAACACTTTAACTATGGTTTTATTTTTTTTTAATATATTTTTAATTTTTATTTATTTATGATAGTCACAGAGAGAGAGAGAGAGAGAGGCAGAGACATAGGCAGAGGGAGAAGCAGGCTCCATGCGCTGGGAGCCCGACGTGGGATTCGATCCCGAGTCTCCAGGATCGCGCCCTGGGCCAAAGGCAGGCACCAAACCGCTGCGCCACCCAGGGATCCCTTTAACTATGGTTTTAGAGTAGACTTGATCTAGTCAGTATTCTTTATCACCAATTCACCAAAATTCTCTGATTGGCTTCGGAATCGACACAGTAGGCTTCGATCAGGCTTACCTCTGGGGTTCTCTTTGGTCTGGGCCTAGGTCAACCCATAGTTGTCGGTTTTCTCTGAGCCATGCTGAAGGATGGTGGGGAGCTGGCCTGGGGCAGAGCCCCCACTGTGGGGCCTGTGCCCACCTGGATACAAAGAGAGGAGAGAACAGGGTGTAAAAGCAGTGTCTGTGGTCACCATGCACCGGTTGTTAGCCAGGGCTGCCCCCACGCCAGCCACTCTTGTGGGCCATTAAAGGTATGACTAGGACCCTGGCTCCAGGAGGAGCTAGAGGACTACCCAAAGCACCATGTAGCAGAAGGGAGGCTGCCTAGGCCTGGTTCTGTAGTGTGGGGTGTAAAGGTGAAGTGAAAGGTTAAGAAGCTAAGGTCCCCACTGTGAAGATAGGCTGGGAGGGGGTCCCCAGCCCTCCTGCACCACGCAGTGAAGTGTAACCCCCTCCAGATGACAAGAGCCAGTTTGGACCATGTGGGCAGGTGGCTCGGTCTTAAATATTTTGTTATGTTCCTTGTTTTCAGGTTAAGGGGAAAAAGAAGTGGATGTTTTAGACACTTTGAAAGGGGTTTAGTGGCTTTTCCGCTTAACCACAAAGAACCCCACTTTCCGTAGAGATGGTGTACTGAGAGTACATGGCCACTAGGGGGCACAGGACACCCAGGCTGGGGCCAGAGGTCTCCCTGAGGCCCTAGGTGAGTGGGGAAGGGGTTCCTTCCAGGCAGATGATCCAGAGGTCCATCTCCCAGGATGGCTGAAATCCAGGGTTGCATTTTTTAGCAGGATTGGAGGGCCTCTAAGCTGAGGCATGAGGATCCCAATGGCAGTGAGGGCAGGGAGAACAAGTCTGAACACTCAGGGCCCCCCTGGCCCCGGAGACTCTACGGCTGGCTCATGTGTACGCTAAGGCAAACGTAGCCAGCCTCGGGCAGCCTGACCCGGAGCCCTGACCAGACCCCGTCTGACCCTGCCGTGGGTTTCTCCGCCACCCAGGTGTGGTACAGAGAGGACGTCAGCCACCCCAACCCCGAAGGCTCATCGTGGTCCCTCATGGACACCCCAGGGGAGGCGGTGCAGATCAGCTGTGGGCCCCACGACCTCCTATGGGTCACGCTCTGGGAGGGGCAGGCCTTGGTCCGGGAAGGAATCAACAGGAACAATCCCAAAGGTGGGCAGCCCTATGCCCCATGCAGGGAGAGGCGGGGGACGCCCAGCTTCTCCCTGGCGCTCTCACTGATGAGGGCCACCTGCTCTTTATTCTGGGGCCGGGTAGGAAGTTCCTGGTCCATAGTGGAGCCTCCCGCCTCTGAAAATGGGATCATGCACGTCTCCGTGGGAGTTGGCGTGGTCTGGGCCATCACCAAGGATCGGAAAGTAAGATGGGGTCACTGGGGGCTGGGGCCAAAGGCTTTTGTTTATTTCTTTTTCTTTGGAGGAGTCACTGGCCCATTTGGGAATCAGACTGAGGGCTCAGTGTTGAGGGCTGTGTGGTTTTTTTGTTCTTGCAAGTGTGGTCTAAACCCTTTGAAATAAATCCAACCAGGCACATGCACTTTCTGGGGCTTGAAGGGCTCGGTGATCTCCATGATATGCCCGTTCCCTGTACCAAGTGCAGGACAACCGTCCTTATCACTCAGAAGGCCATAACATTTTAAATAGGTGCCAATTTTCTGAAACCCTCAGCTAACTGAATGTGTCCCTTGACTCCTATCCAGTGCTTTCCATTTTTACATCATGAGAGGTAAGTCCAATAAAATAAGCAGATTTGGGGTTGCTTCCATGCTCTTTCTAACCCCACCTCAGGAGCATCCTGTAGCAACCCAGGGATGATGAATCCCCCACACATCTGAGTCTGTGTCCATGCAGAAGTCCTTGAGCCCAAAATTCAGGTCACCTGAAGCATCTGCCTCCCATAATTCCTCAGTCCCTCTCAGAACAGTGCATTAAATGAGCAGAGCATTTTATTTATAGGAGCAATGTGCTCCGTCTTCAGACAGATATTTGTGCAAATTTTCTTTGGGTCGAGGAGACAGTTTAGGCATTCTAGCAATTGTTATAAAAGAGATTTGAGAGTTTCTCACTAGTCACCTCCCCCCATCCTGCCTCGGGAACTTCCTGATTAAACACGTGGGTGCTCCTCTCAGTGGGTCTCAGAACTGCTGGGATCTTGCTCATGTGTCAGCCAGAGTGGGTAAGGACAGTTGTGGCGGAGCACAGCAGGGGCCAGGGTGGGTGGGGTCAACTATGGGGCCACATGTGGGTGGAGGGAAATTTGGTTGGATTGTGTTTATTTTTATAAACTAACAACAACAACGAAAGGCCTGATTTTTCACAAGTTTATCTACTTTTTTAGTCATGTCTACACTCGATGTGGGGTTCAAACTCATGACCCCAAGATCAAGAGCCGCATGCTCTTCTGACTGAGCCAGCTAGAGCCCCGAAAAAAGTTAGGCTTAAAGAGACTATTTCCTAAAGCACTAAGAATGGATCCAAAGTGTGTTATCTCCTGGTAAGTTTAGAAAAAAATGGTTTTTCTAAATAACATCATTAAGGCCGTCATCCGACATAGAGGCAAGCTTGATTGGACAAACACATGTTCCAAGTGTCAAGCTAAGATGGGACTACATACAGGTCTATGGGGGTGAGATGTTGCTAGTCAAGCTCTACATTCGAGATGCAGTACATGTCCGTCCTCCCTGTCCCCAAACATTGCCAGGAGAAGTCCCACCTCCTGGCTGTACAGTAAGACAGCTGATATAGGTGACACCTGCTGCTCCTGCCTGGTGCCAAGATGTGAACTGGTAGAAAGAATGTTCTAGAAAGATTCAGACAGCCTTGTCTCCTGGAGGGGCAATGCCCTCTGCCAAAGAAGAGATAGGAAGCCACCAGAATAGGTACAGCTGGGGGCAGGTGACCCTTGCTGTGTGGAACAGCACCAAGCGCAGAGGGAATGCAGCAGGGGTGCAGGGAAGAGGGACCCAAATGATGTCTTCTTTCTCACTGATGTGCTGTGGTCATTTGTGGCATGAACAAAAGAACCAAATTATTCATTCGTTCTTCCAGAGCCTTCGAAAACAATATCCAATTCCAGTGGCCCTCCAAGGAGGCATTTTATTTCTGACTTTCCTCAGGTGTGGTTCCGAAGAGGCGTCAACTCGCACAATCCCTGTGGCACCAGCTGGATTGAGATGGTCGGAGATATGATGATGGTGAACGTGGGGCTCAATGACCAGGTATGCGTGTGACTCTGAGCCCTGGATCCCGACAGGTGTGGGCCAGCAGCTCATACACAATAGAGGTCTCAGAGTGGGGGCTCCTGATGCTTCCTGCTGCCCCTTCCCACCAGACATGATGCCAGCATGGGAGGTCCCTGGCACCTCCTCAGACTCCCAGCCTGCAAGGGTACCCAGAGGGCTAGCTGCACCCGGGTGCGAGGGCCCCTGCTTGTCCCAGGCCCCTCCCCCTGGGATCCTCAGAGTGGTGGTGGTGAGCACAGACCAGGGGTGCACATCCCAGGGACTGGCAGGGATATTTTGTCGAGAATTTTTGGGGCACAGTCAGTTCAGTAAGTGAAGAATGAAACCGATCTTCCCAACTTTATGAATGCAACATCTCTTGAACATCACCTGTATAGTTTGTACAATGTGGTGGATGAGGTTTGGCTGCTTTTAAGACTGACGGTGTGAAGGTGACTCCTTCCCCAGTGCCCTGCCCTGGAAACTCTTCCCGGGGGGTGCTGGCCTTCCAGTGCTGTCCCCATGCTGTCCTCTCACCCACCCCAGTCAGCTGGGCACACAGCAGTCGGGCAAGACCAGGCACTGGTGGGTACCCACAGGGAGAGAGGGCAGAGGCTAGTCTGCCATGGCCAAGTGATGGAGACACCGCCTCCCTCCCAGTAAGGCCGCTTGGGACCGCCATGGGCAGGCTGAGGCCCGGAGGCACCCCCACAGGCCTCAGCACCCAAAGGCAGACAGGAGGATCCCTGCCCAGCTGCCTTTTTCATAGAAAATGAGGTCAGGATCAAGGATGCTATTCTGCATCTGCCTGCATTTAACGCCAGTGGGCAGAACTGGGACTTACCAACACTCTCTAAAAAGACCCAGACCATTCTCTGGGTTCACTCGGGGAGCAGCATTCCTCCTCCCAGAGGCTACATGGAAGATCGGGACATGAGTGGGCTTGTGTCACAGCACGATGTCCAGTAGCACCACCACCTTCTCTGGACCTTGCCAGCCTAAAGCCCAGGGTCTCCCTGAGCCCCTCTTCTCCTGGCCCTTTCTGGGCTCTGCTCCCTGCATTTGACCTGTGCACCCACCCCACATCCGCCTCCTGCCCCCGTCAACCCTCCCAGCCATAACACTCATATGCACACACACACATTGCACATATTAGGAGGGGATCCTGTCTGCATTTGCAGACATGTCCTCCAGCCTTGGGGTACTCTCTCCCACCCCTCGTCCTCCCCCACACCCCTAAAGGGAAGGGATCCTTCAGGTCCATGCTGGCCTCCCACCCAGCAGCACCTCTCTCTGTGCCAGGTTTGGGGCATTGGCTGTGAGGACCGGGCCATGTACTTCCGTCAGGGTGTCACCCAGAGTGAACTCAGTGGGAAAACCTGGAAGGCCATCGTCGCCAGCCGAGAGAGTGACCGATCGCACTCTGGTAGCTCATCAAGTCTCCTCAGGTGATCCCAGGGGCAGCAGGGTACGGAAGACTCGGGTCAGGAAGGGTGGCAGTGTCCGGAAGAGGCTGCCACTTGGCCTCTCAGTGGGGCTCTGGGCCTTGCCCAGGCAGGGAAAAACCAGGCCATGGCCCGCGAGGTCTCTCCCCATGCCTGGTGCCAGGGCTAGGCTTGAAAGTGGTCTGTGGGGATAGGCTGTGGGCAGGGTGGGAGGGGGCCAGTGGGTGAGGTTGGGGTGTCCATCCAATGTCAGAGCCAGGGAGTCGTCCCTGAACAGAGCTGGCCCGTTGGTTTTGAAGTCTTAAGGTCTGGGAGAGAAAAGGCTTCTACATGAGGGGTGGGGCCCCTCTGGCAAAAGAAAGCAGAGAAGAAGACAGAGGATCTCTCTAGTCTAGAACAGGGACCTCAGACTTGGCCACGCACTAGAAACGCTGAGAGGGCTTGATCCCACACAGATGTCCAGACCCCAGCCCCGGAGCTTCTGTTTCAGTAGAATTTTGCAGTCAGCAGATTTTGCATTATTTGCAAGGTCCCAGGTGTGCAGTTTCTACAGTTCTGAGATCCGTGGGTGTAGAGAGTGTGGGTGAGTCCCAGCTCTGCCACCTGCGTTAAATGTAGGCAGATGACTTAGTGTCTTAGCAGGGGATCACCTCGGCTCTGTAACGCGAGTGCTCGCAGTGCTTACCTGCTTGGTCCTGTGGCTCAGGGGCCCTTGGTACAGTGCTCCACGGCAGCCACGTCCCTGTCTGCGACACAGGCCCTCCCCAGCCTCCGGTCCATGTCCCTTTGCTCCCCCAGCATGGCGGTCTTCACTCTGCTGAGCTGGAAGCCCAGATGGCTGAGAGGCTGGCCAGGCTGGACTTTCCTCATTTACCTGAGGGTTTGGGCTCTCAGCTGGTAGTACTCAAATATTGGAATCATCTGAGAAGCTTCCAAAACTGCTGATGCCAAACCTTAGATTTGGCAACGGCTTCTTAAATAGGACACCAGAAGCACCAGAAAGGAAAGGAAAAATAGATAAATTAGAATTTCATCAAAATTAAAAACTTTTGTGCATCCAAGGACACTATCAGGAAAGGAAAAGATAATCCATAGAATGGGAGGAAATATTCGCAAATCACATAGTTGACAAAGGTCTAGTATCTAGAAGTGTAAGGAACCTTTACAACTAACAACAAGAAGACGACTCAATTTGAAAAGTCAAGGGACTGGAATAGACATTTCTCCAAAGTAGATATGCAAATGGCCAACAAACACGTGAAAAAACACTCAGTATCATCAGGGAGATGCAAATCAAAACCACAAATGAGATACCACTTCACACCCACTGGGAGAGCTATAGTCAAAAAAAAAAGGCAACATCAAGTGTTGACGAGATATGGAGAAATTGGGACCCCCGTGTACTGCTGGTGGGGACGGCCACCTTGGAAAATAGTGTGGCGGTTGCTCAAGAAAGTAAAGATAGAGCCACCCCATGACCCAGCACTCGCATCACCTAGGTATATACCCAGGAGAATGGAAAACAGATGTTAAACAAAAATTTGTATATGCGTGTTTATAGAAGCATCATTCACAGTAGCCAGAAGGTGGAAACTCCGATGTCCATCCACGGATGAATAAATAAAATGTGCCGTATCCATACAGCAGAATATTTTTCAGCAACAAAAGGAAGTAGTGATCCATGCCACAACCTGACTGAACTTTGACATCATCATACAGAGCAAGAGAAGCCAGTCACGGAAGACCATATCACACAATGCCCTTTGTATGACATGTCTAGAATAGGCGAATGCATAGAGGCAGAAAGCGGATTGGTGGAAGCCAGGATGGGTGGTAGGGGGATGGAGGGTGGCTCCTGAACGCAGGCAGGGTTTCTGTTGGGGTGATGACAAAGTTCTGCAACCAGCTAGTGGTGGTGGTTGCACAACCTCATGGTTATTTAATGCCACATCATTTGAGATGGTAAATATTATCTTACATGTATTTTGCCACAATAAGAAAATAACAATACTGCCAGATTTCCACCCCCAGATAAATGGTTTGATCGGCTTGGGCTGCGACCTGGCTGTTCCCGCGCCCTGGGAGGTAGCCTTCCATGTGTGTGGTGTGGCTGTGGCTTGCCCCCAGGGTCACAGCAGGTGAGCTGGGCTGCCCACAGCAGCACGTGCCCTTCCCTCAAAGAAGTCATAGGTCTGCCCTTCTCATCCCCAGTGCTGGCTGCTTCTTTGGCGACGAGGTGAGGGGCAGTGGTGAGTCCTGTGCACCGAGTGACACGGATGCCTCTTTAGAAGCTGAGAGAGTGGGGCCTGACCAGCCTGTCCCTGCAGAGTCTGTGGACGGTCCCAGGAACCCCAGGGACAGCTTGGCCACAGGCCCGGGCATCGGCAGGACCACAGAGCATGCTGTGGAGGTCACCAGCCTGGCCACTCCGGCTCCTGGGCCTGGCCTGGCCTCCACCCCGGCTGAACTGCCCTGGACCAATATTGACCTGAAGGAGCCCAAGAGAGCACCCAGCCACTCAGCTGCTGGCTTTCCAGAGACCACCGGCCTTTCCACACTGGGGCTCCTCCCACTGGGCTTGGAGGAGCCCTACGGGGCTGATGACCACTCACTATGGGCCTGGGTATCCGGAGGAGGCTGCGCTGTGGAGGCCCACTCTGTGCTCAAGTGGTTCACCGTCCAGTCGGGTAAGCCCAGGGCTCTAGGGGCCCAGCACCCTCTGGGGGGGTGGGAAGCAGACCCAGTGTCCTGCCTGAACACCCCCTTCGGCTCAGCCCGTCTGTCAGCAGCCTTGGGAGACCAGCCAGAGTGGCCCTTCCCCTCCCCGTGGCCTAGTACTGGTGGCTGCTTTCGAGGCAGAATTGAGGGTCCAATCAGGGAAAGCCCTGTGGGGAAGGCTTATGGGGCATGTTGCAGAGATCATAGCTCTCCAGCAAGAACAGGTGGTTAAAAACGAGAACAGAGAGACGAGCCCTGGCCTGCTGGCTCCTGGCCCTGAGGCTCTGCTGGCCCGCAGGCCTGTCCCCCTCGGTACAGACGCTGTCCCTGTCCATCACGCCGGCCCAGACAGCCGCCTGGCGGAAGCAGATCTTCCAGCAGCTCACTGAGAGGACCAAGCGGGAGCTGGAGAACTTCCGGCACTACGAGCAGGCCGTAGAGCAGGTAGGCAGTTCCTGGATGCATTCACTTAGTACCTACTGTATACTCGCCCGAAGAGGAAACAGAGAGGTAGCCATCCCTCTGTCCGTCCCGCTCAGAGGTGAAGCCGTCCTTCCCAGGTCCTGTAGATTCAAGGCTGAAGACAGAGTCCATTCCTTTTGTCCTCCATCCTGAGGACAAAAGGACAAACTCATCCCACTGTGCTCTAGGTGCAGCCTCAGCCCGGGGGACCCAGATACCGAAGCAGCCTCAGAGGGGGGTGTGGGGGAGGGGAGCGCTGTGGTCCCCTTCCCTCCAGAAGGAACCCCAAGAGCCAAGATAGTGTGGCTTCATTGAGATGAGTGAGGATGGGCTTAAGGGCTCTCCTGGAGCCCCTCAGGTGGGGCATGGTCCCCCGAAGCCCTCAGTCAGCTTGGCAGGTGAAAGTTATATGAAGCATGGGGTCCTTGGGCCTCGGCCACAGGTGCAGAAACATCTCACTGGTGGCTAAGTATTGGGCCTCCAGACACAAGCAGGCCAGGCATGGGCCCCTTTTTTGCCCCCGACTCCCTCATTGACCTTGGGTCAGGTCAGAACCTCTCTGAGCCTCAGTTTCCCTATCTCAAGCATGGGGTGACAGTGTGACAGAATTAGGAGGGGGCACACAGACACCATGGCTTGTGGACCCAGCAGCTGTTGGGTGAGCAGCAGCAGTACCACCTTTGTCACGAGGGGGAGTTTAGGGAGCTGGGCCCCCAGAGGCCCACCTATGACTCTGTCCTGTGCCCTTGGGGCCTGTGTTACAGTCGGTGTGGGTGAAGACGGGGGCCCTGCAGTGGTGGTGTGACTGGAAACCCCACAAGTGGGTGGACGTCCGTGTGGCCCTGGAGCAGTTCACGGGGCTCGATGGAGCTCGGGACAGCATCCTCTTCATCTACTACGTGGTCCACGAGGAGAAGAAGGTATGTGTGGGGTTCCCCTGGGAGGGTGGCTCCCATGGGAGGGGGGCACAGAGCCATGCCTGGGACACCAGCCCCCAGCTGCTCAGTCAGGGACCGTGTCTGGCAGTGGCAGAGTGGCTGCCCGTGGTGACAGCAGCCCCAGTCAATGGCCAGCACAAGTGCGGGGGCCCCTGCTGCTGCCCCAGAGAGCTACCTCCTCATGGAGCCGCGGACAGTCCCTGGGGTTTCAGCTCGGGGCGTTAAAGCCCCTCTGCCCTCCTGGCGCTGGGGTTTGAACGCAGTTGACTGGGTTCTGGAGTCTGCTGTTGACATCAGGAGCATAACTAAGGCAGTTGCTCGTGAACTGGGACGTCCATACTGAACAAGCTTGATCCTGGAGCCCACCACTAACCCCACAGGCCCCAGGGAACCCTATGACTGGCTCTCTGGAATTGGGGGTGACCCAGGCCATCCCTGTCCCCCCACCACGGCCGGGGCTCCCCCAGAGGCCCTCTGTGCCCCGCAGCCCCACAGTTCCCCCTCCGCCCTGGCGACAGCCCTGCTCCCTCCTCTGTAAACAGTACCTCCACGTCTTCCTCAATGAGGTGACACTCCTAGTCCCTGTGCTCAACGAGACCAAGCACTCTTTTGCCCTTTATACCCCCGAGAGGACACGGCAGAGGTGGCCCGTGCATCTGGCTGCTGCCACTGAGCAGGACATGAATGATTGGGTGAGTGGACATGCACGACAGGCCAGGCTCACGGGCAGGGGTCTTGGGCCTGCCACCTGCCTCCTTCGCAGCGTGACTGGCTGTCTCCCCCTCCAGCTGGCCCTGCTCAACCTGTCCTGCTGCGAGAGCCGGAGGGTCCACGGCCGCCCCTCCCCGCAGGCCATCTGGTCCGTCACCTGCAAGGGGGACATCTTTGTGAGCGAGCCCAGCCCAGACCTGGAGGCCTCTGAGCACATGCTGCCCTGTGACCAGATGTGAGTCAGCTGTGCTCTGCACTGGCCCAGGGCAACCAGGGTTGTGGTTCAAGAAGGGAGGGTAGGGTCTTGCTTCCTGCTGGCTAGCCCTGGGAATGGCATTATGTGAGTGTTAATAAGGAGGGAGCTGGTGGGGGCCCCCACCTGCCTGGTACCTGGTCATCAGGAAGAGGTGCAGCCAGGAACAGGGTGCAGGGCAGAGGAGCCTGTGAGGACTGGGGGAAGGTGGGTGAGGCTGGGAGGCTCCGCTCAGGATGGGAGAGTGGATGCATGTGTCCAGCCTTTGTTGGTCTGTTCTTGGAAGCCCTGTGTGCTTAGCACCTGGATGAACAAGTCTGACTACCTCTGGTGACAGCAGGCAGGACCTTGGCACACAGGAGGGGGACCCAGGTGACACCGTGCACACTGGCCACCCGAGAGGCCGTGCTGTCACCTCCCAGTGTACTGGCCCGTGTCGTGGCTCATCCAGATGAGATGACCCTGCCTTCTGCCATGACATGCCTGTCCCAGATCCCCAGGGGCAGGTGTGGAAAGGTGGCTGCTGGCGTGCCCCCCCTGCCCGCAGATCCTGAGGCTCCTATGCCCACTCTTGGGCCACATTAGCTCCGATTACTACTGGATGGGGAGCCAGACAGATGTTATCGTCCTAAATAAAGTCCACCCTTTAGAGATGGAAGATCAGTAAAAATAGGATGTTTGAGGGAGGCCACTGAGCCAACAGGGCTGCAGGGTAGAAGGCTGGCAAGGTGTGCTGAGACGCACTCCTCCTGACCTCTCTCGCCTCGCTTCAGGTTCTGGCGGCAGATGGGAGGCCACCTGCGAGTGGTGGAGGCCAGCGGCCGGGGAGTGGTGTGGGGCATCGGCTACGACCACACAGCCTGGGTCTATACGGGTGGCTACGGCGGAGGCTGCTTCCAAGGTGAGAGTGACCTGCACTCAAGAGGCCAGCCAGTCTGGCTTCCCAGGCCCTGCCCACAGCCTTCCCAGGCCCACCCCTCCAATCCCACTTGGCTTCCCTGCCCCAGTCTAGAGCCACTGTCCCCGACTCTAGAGCCACTGTCCCAGCATTGGCTCTCGGCTGACCTCACCAAGGCCAGCCTCCAGAGGATGGCTTCGGGGCTAGCCCTTGAGTTGTGAGAGCCCGGAGACCAGCCTTGCCTCCAGCACACCTTCCTGGGCACCCACAGCTGAGCCCGGGGCCTTGAAGTTTCTAGAAAGACAGCTGCCAGAACAGAGGAGCTAGAGGTGGTGCTGATCAGAGATGTAATGCGCTGCAGGTTCTTCTCATGGAGGGTGTACAACCCCAGAATAATCACAAAGTGAGAAAGCCAAGCCAGGCCTGTGAACCCCTCTCTACTGGCCCTCCCCGGACCCTCCTCCACCCATTCTCTGCAGCTTTCAGTGCTTCAGACAGAAGCCTGAGTCCCCAGCCGGCAGCCTCCTCTCTCCCCAGGCCTGGCCAGCAGCACCAGTAACATCTACACGCAGTCAGACGTGAAGTGTGTCTACATCTACGAGAACCAGCGCTGGAACCCCGTCACGGGCTACTCCAGCAGGTGAGTGGCTGAGGCGCCGGGCCAGGCAGGGGCTTCATGGGAACATAAAGATGGTTTGTGACAGCCCTGCCATTGGATACTCGAGGGCGATCCAGGTCATCTAACCTCCTCTCAGTGTCGGACAGGGAGATCTTTTGTGACCTTTCCAAGTTGTACGAACTGCTTGAAGGATTTTCTTGTGTGTAAATATTTGGGAGTTTGTCCTTCATCCCAGTAAATCAGGGCTTGAGCTTTGTGAAGGCAGTTGACACACGTTACCAAAACTTGTCCTAGAAGCCTCTGCGTGGGTGTGGGTAGCATCCCTGCTTATTCCTTAGGCACTGTGCTCCCTGGTCCTCGCTGAGTGTGGGTACCCAGGGCCACAGCTCCCAGCTCTTGCCACCTGAGCCTCACAGCTGCCTGCCCAACACCACTGCGCGGGCTTGTCATTCTGCAAGTGTCTGGGTGAGCTCGGCTGCTGTCCCCAAGCACCACACACTCAGCAGTCTGAACAATGGACATTTAATCTCTCCCTGGGAAATCCAGAACCAAGGTGTGCGCAGGGCCACTTCACTCTGAGGGCGGTGAGGGAGCCTCCAGCCTCTCTCCTGGAGGCCTCAGGTGTGTCCCTTGGTTTGTGGCAACCTCCCTTCCGTCTTCACACTGCTTTCCCTATTTGGAAAATTTGAAGCCCATTAGGACACTGTCGTATTGGTTTGGGGCCGACCTTGATGACTCTATTCTAACCTGATCTCCTGCAAAGACCTTATTTCCAAATAAGGTCACACTTGCAGGTACTGGGGCTATGGCTTCAACATCTTTTGGGAGCACAGCAACCCATAATGCGAGGGGAGGAGAGGCTCTCAGACCGCACAGCAGGCCACAGCTCGCGGGTGGATGGCCTGGCTGCAGGTGGCGACCCAGGCTCCTGGGTGACAGGGGGTCCTCTGGTTGCTGTCCCCACCCTGGGGCAGTTCTGGCTTTGCCCTCACCCTTCTGGAGACGCAGACGCTCCAGGTGCTCCTGTCTTGTCTGTCACTGGTCATCCTAGCGGCCCTGTCATCCACTGCAGGGGTCTGCCCACCGACCGGTACATGTGGAGCGACGCCTCAGGGCTGCAGGAGTGCACCAAGGCTGGCACGAAGCCCCCGTCCCTGCAGTGGACCTGGGTGAGCTCCGGGCTGCGGGACGGGGGCTGGCGCCGGGGGCTTCCCGCACTCACCCACCTCTCCTCCAGGTTTCTGACTGGTCTGTGGATTTCAGCGTTCCCGGGGGCACTGACCAGGAGGGCTGGCAGTACGCCAGTGACTTCCCTGCGTAAGCATGCCTCTGCGTGGGGAGGGGCCCTCACCCTGTGCCAGGAGGCACCCTTGTCCCCCCCCTGCTGTTCTGGGGCCACTCCCGCCCCTGCATGCACCCGGATATGTCCAAGGAGCGGACCCCTGTATGCTCACCTCAGCAGCCAGTGGGGTGGCCAGAGAGATGAGCTCAGGCCAGCACACCTGCCAGACCTAGCTCAGTAGATAGGCTCAGGGAGGATGACCACGACTCCCTCGGCACCCAGCTGTGTCCCTGCTACTCTGGGGAGGGGTTCTGGAGGTGGGGGGGGGCAGCCAGGGACCTGGTGCACTGGGCTTCTCTATCAGGGGTGGTGTTGGGGAGCTTTGGGGCAGGCCCTGGGGGATGGGCGGAGGTGGCTGGAGGGAGGTGTCTGGTGGAAAGGCAGTTTGAACAAAGTGGAGTGAGGCCAGCAGCATCCTGAGAAGTGAAGGGAGAAGTGAGTGACATATCCACAAAGCCAGCAGACCCTGGTGGCCAAGTGGGCGCATGGCATTGGTGGGTAGCAGGTCCTTCATGGTGCACAGGTCACATCCAAGTGGATGACAGAGCTGTGGGAGCCCGAGCCAGGGTCTCTGAGCAGGCCCAGGCCTGGGGACCAGGCAGGTCAGGGACAGGTGAGCCCATAGGCATCCCCTCCAGCCATAGCCAAGCCTCCTGGACTGACCCTACCCTTGTCTCTAGGCCTCCACTCGACTGTTCCCCAGAAGGGCTCAGATGGGCTGGGTGGTGGGGAGGGCTCGGAACCCCCTAGCGAGAACCCTTGATCTGGCAGCTGCTACATCCTAGCCCAGGGAGACCTGTGCCCCAGAAACCCCAGCCAGGCAATGGGCATCTGAAGGATAAGCCTTGTGTCCTGTCATACCTGCTGCCTGTTGAGCTCACTCATTGGCTCACACGGAGGCTCTGCCCTTAACGAGGGGAAAAAGAATGTGTGTGCACACGTGCATGTGCCGTGTTGCTTTCCAGAAACTTCCACAAAGTGGCCTTGACTTCAGCTTCTTTCTCTTGCAGCTCATACCATGGGTACAAAACCATGAAGGATTTTGTTAGGAGAAGGTGCTGGGCCAGGTAAAGACGGGAGTGACATGGTAACCAGGAGCTGTAAGCCTACCCTTCCTACCAGTCCCTCCTGGGCCAGTCCCTGTGGAAGAAAAGCAGAGGGAGGGGGGAGGGAAAGAGAATCAAAGTAAATGTCAGTCCAGGAAATGCCCTTGGGCTCCCAACGCTCTCTGGTTTCTGCAGTTTGTTTTCAAGAACAAATAAGAGAAATGTCACTGGCAGGCTCTGCTCTAAGCAGGACAGGCAGGTCAGGATGGGAGGCCAGGCTGGGGGCAGGGCAGGCGGGGGCCGCCTCTCCAGGCCCCTCATTCCTGCCCATCAGGAAGGGGTGCCCACTTGGGCACTGGGGGCGATCCTGGCTCTGCCTCCAGGCCCGCAGAGGCTGTGTGGGCTAGAGGGTGGCCTGATGCACGCGCATCTAGAGCTCCTGCCATAGCATCAAGACCCCAGGGTTCTGTTTTCTTCCACTGTGCAGAAAATGTAAGCTGGTGACCACTGGGCCCTGGCTGGAGGTGGCCCCTATCACCCTTGGGGATGTGTCCATCATCCCAGAGAGCCCAGATGCCAACAGAAGTGGGCATAGCATCGCCCTCTGGGCCGTCAGTGACAAGGGAGATGTGCTTTGCCGCCTGGGCGTGTCGGAGCTCAACCCCGCGGTGAGCACCTGCCCCCAGGGGCCACCCTAGTCCTGCCCACCTGTCAGCCCTCGGGCTCTCCTGGGGTTCTGGCAGAGTCTTTCCAAAATAGAACTCTGGACTGAGGTCCCACGGGGCTCAGGCCTCCCAAGGCCTGCCCAGGACAGCCCCGGGGACTGTGGACACTGTATGTGGCCCAGGGGAGTCACCAGGTTGGGCAGCTGGAGCCGAGGGTGAGGTTGGCGTGAGGAGCTGCCGCCTCTCAGGTCCTGGTCCTGGGGCCAGGGGGAGGGTCAGAGGCCGGGCTCCCGCAGCCCTCAGTGTCCCTCCTGGCTCCTGTCCCCAGGGCTCCTCCTGGCTGCACGTGGGCACTGACCAGCCCTTCACTTCCATCTCCATTGGAGCCTGTCACCAGGTGTGGGCCGTGGCCAGGGATGGCTCCGCCTTCTACCGGGGCTCTGTGTCCCCCACCCAGCCAGCTGGTGAGTGCGGCCCCTCCAGGGGGATCCCCAGCTGTTGTGAGCAGGGATGAGGGTAGCGGGGGCTGCTCAGAGCCAGGCTGCCTGTGCCTCTGCTTCCGGGGGACTGAAGACGGGTCTCCTAATGTTCGGTTCCGCTGGACAAACATGTCTTGAGTGCTGCGCGTGGACCAGGCCTGGGGCCAAGCCAGGACCCCCCAGCGGCCATGCCCCTTCCTGCGGGGGCCAGCTGGGGGTGGTCATCCGGGGCATGGGGCAGTCCCTCCCAGCTGCCCCTCACCAACCTCACCTCCAGCCCCGGGCATTGCTGGTTGTGGGCACTGTGTGCATTCTGCCCATCAGGCCGCCCTCCCGGGGTGGCCCCCACAGGGCCTGGTGTGCAGTGGCGGCTCTGGCAGCCCTCTGGGAGTGCAGGCCGTGCTGGCTTGTTCTCTGCTGGACGTCTAGACAGCGTCTGGCACAGGGGCGGGCAGACGATGGAGGGTGGCTTGCACATCGCTGCCCTCCACACAAGGATGGGGAACTTGTGCTGTGGTCATACATGGCAGCCCCCAGACGGGCTGTCCACCACATGCCAGGCTGGGCACCCTGGCGTCCCTGTGCTGAGGTCGCCCCATTGGATCCCACCATCTAGAACCACCCACAGCCTCTGATGGCCCTGGGCAAAGTGGCACGTTGGGGGCTTTGCTCTGCTTGGTCTCCGGCTCACATGGGGCCCTATCACGTGTGTATGGCCTGGCTGGCCCAAGGACAGAGGCTGGCCATGTGGCCCACGAGCACATGGGGAGGCAGGTTTGGTGGCTCTACAGTGAGTCTGGCCTTGCTCCGCAGGTGACTGCTGGTACCACATCCCGTCTCCTCCCAAGCAGAGGCTGAAGCAGGTATCTGTGGGGCAGACGTCAGTGTACGCCTTGGACGAAAACGGCAAGTTGTTTCTCATCCTCGGTGGTCACCGGAGGAGGCTAGGGCTTCCCTGAGCACCCCAGTGGGATGAGACCCTCAGCGGCCCCAGGGCCCTGACACAAGACCTGTGTGAGCCACCGTGAGAGGCCGGCAGCCTGAGGTCAGCCTCCAGACCCAGCCCTCTCCCCAGCCGTGCAGGGTGGGGGGGGCGCCAGCCCTGCCCGGGGCGTCGGTGGAGGGTGCAGCACCATGGCCGGGTGATGCTGCGTGGCTGCTTGGGAGCCCCATGGGCAGCTAGGGGCCATCCCACCTCGGGCAGGGCTCTGGCCAGGTCCCTTTTCTGCTTTGTGGCTGTGGTCACAACAAGCACGGCGAGGAATAGGGCAGAGTCGGGCCTGGAACTGGGCTTTGAGTCCAGACCCTGGTCTCTGGATTTGTTTAAAGAATTCCTTGTCCTCAGTTTCTCATGCGTAGAGAACGTGTGACGATGCCAGCCCTGCCCAGCAGGATGATGTTGAGCTTCAGGTGGAGTCCAGTGTGGATAGGGCAGAGGGGGCTGGGACCCCAGCTTTTCTTTCTTGCTGGCTCAGCAGGAGCCCCAGGAAGTGTGGGGACAGCCTCCTCTGTCTCTGTGGCCAGACCCTGACGTGGGTCCCAATGCTCTGGGCCCCTCTCTCTCCAGGGAACCTGTGGTATCGTCAGGGGGTGACGCCCAGCTACCCGCAAGGCTCCAGCTGGGAGCACGTGTCCAACAACGTGTGCCGAGTGTCCGTGGGGCCCCTGGACCAGGTCTGGGTGCCCGGGGGGTGAGGGCTGAAAGCGGATGCTTGCTCTGGGGGTTTGGGGTACTCTGGGTCCCCACTGCCATCCCCACAGTCCCACCAGGGCTGAGGGCTGGGCCTTCACCGGGTCTGCATTCCAGGTTTGGGTAATCGCCAACAAGGTCCAGGGGAGCCATGGCCTGAGCCGGGGAACCGTGTGCCATCGCACAGGCGTGCAGCCTCGAGAGCCCAAGGGCCAGGGCTGGGACTATGGCATCGGAGTGAGTAGGGCCTGTGAGAGGCGGCTGAGCCGGCCAGGGGTGACGTGGTCATGCTGCGTGCTCTGGGATCCGGTGTTGGGGTGTGCGGGAGGCCCCAGATGGAGCCCCTCAGGGGTCTGGAAGCATGGTCTCTCCCCTTGGCCCCCAGCAGCCACGGCTGACAAGGCTCTTTCCTTCCAGGGGGGCTGGGATCACATCACTGTCCGGGCCAATGCCACCAGAGCCTTCAGGAGCAGGTCCCAGGAGACAGCCACTGACTGGAGTGGGGAGCCGGGCCTCCCCAGCACGCCGTCGAGGGTGCCTGGAGCCTCGCAGGAGGCCCGTGGCCCTGTCTGCTGCTGAGGCCGCAGCCTCCCCTCACCTGAAGCAGGTGTGTCCTTCAAAGTTGATATGTGCGCCTTCCGGTCTGAGCCATTCTTACATGTGGATCATGGAGGGAACCTGGCCTGAGGTCACAGCCACTTCAGAGGCACTGGCTGAACCAGCCCAGAAATGTGAAGTTGTGGATGCTCCCACACACGTACCCCTGTCTGCAGGCATGGAGTGGGGTGGGGGCTCCTTCACCCCAGCCTTTCCCACCTGCCCCTCCCCACTGTGCCTCCTGCTGTTCTGGAACAGGAGCCTGGAGCTTTCCAGGAATGCTGCCTTGGGAAGCCAAACCCAGGAAGCCCCCAGTGTCCCCAGACAGGTGGGGTACAGCACCCCTCCCCCACCAAGACAATGGCTGTGGGGCTCAGGGCCACTTTGCCCTGTTCTCTGATCATTTTTCAGAGCCAGACTCGAGAACACAGTTTAATTTCAAAACTTAAGTGAGAATTGACAGCTTGGAAGCCAAGGTTGGAGAGGGGTTTCTTTTGGATGGGCACAAGCCCCCCTGTGGGATTGGAGGCTGCTCCCTTTGTGTCTGATGATACAGTAGGGGCTGCAGGGACACGGGGTGTGCAGGCCGCAGCCCCAAGCCCCACACACCGGGGCAAGACTGCCCCCCCGCTGCCAGGCCAGTAGGGAAGCACCTCCCATCGGGCAGCTTCTTTGCTGCTCTTTTTTTAAGATTTTATTTTTAAGTAATCTCTACACCCAACATGGGGCTCAAACGCACCACCCCGAGATCAAGAGTCGCATGCTGTACTGACTGAGCCAGCCAGGCGCCCCTCCTCTGCTGCTTTTTATTCCATTATGGCTCCATTTGGTGAAGCCTCAGATTTGCTTCCTGCAACCAGACACTTTGCCTGAAAGCCCAAGTTGGCCTCTGCTCATTTTGGGACAAAACGAACTGGCTCCAGCCTTCCCTGGAATTCTCATCAGGAGGGGTCAGCCATGCATTTGACTCCGTTTTGCCGTGTGGCATTCAACTCGAAGGTCTCCTCTGGGGTCCCCTCCTGCAGGGCACTGGAAGGGGCTGACGGTCTCTGCATTTGCTGTGAATTGTGGAGGTGGGACCGGGAGGCGTGAGTGGGGCTTTGGGGGCACCGTCCCGTGTGTCTGCACCATGGGTTCCTTCTACAACAGCAACCTGCCGCTCTGCTGTGACTCGCTGTCTGTCTGTAGCTGGTTACACGTTGCTCTTGCTCCAGGGCGACTGTGTCCTCACTGCTGAGCGCCCACTGTCTACCAGGTCAGCACCACCAAACCATCTCGATTCCTTGGATGCTTTACTCAATAAAAACTCACACCAGAATGTGAACGACATGCTATTTTTTTTATTGCTACATTGTGATTAGAATGCACAGCTCCCCATGAGTGTCCAGCCTGGGGCACAAGTAGCAGTCGTGCTAAAATCTTTCATTTTTATGACACAGCATTGGGTTTCATTAGTACGCTGAAGGGACCATTAGGAGAAATCAAAGCAAATCTCGGTCATTTAAGAAACATTTTTACCACAATTACAGCAAGGGCACTGGCCGTTCAGTTCCAGGTAGGTTTTCCCACACAGAAAAGTCCCAAGTTCTGGTTTCTCAGGTCCGGGCTGTGGGGTCTCGGCCCTCCAGAGCTCACATGGGTCTGGTCAGCAGGTGGGTACCAGGCCTGGGTGTGAGGCCGGATGGCAGGGCCCTGGGGATAGCGGTTCGCTGGTCTTAAGAGTCCTTGCAGGGCAGGAGGGCCCAGGACAGGGGCGAAGAGTGCAGACCCAGCAGCAGGCCTCACCAGCCTGCCCCCAGACCTTTCCTCTCCCCTGCTCCCCATATTTAACACCCGAAAGCTCGACTTTGTGACATGGCCACAGGGTGTGCAGATGCCCTCTGGCCACAAAGGAAGAAGGACCAGACATCTGGGCCCGGGTCACCCTCTGGGAACCAGGTGCTAGCTTGGGACAGAAGGTGCTGAAAGCTGGTGGTGACCCACAGACCCTCCCACCACCCTCGGGCTTTGGCGTGGTCTCCCGGACAGAGCCTCTGCTGGGCTTTCAGCTCGGTTTCTTGGTTCATTCAGCAATTTTAGCGGTGCACCGGGCCCTGCTCTGGCCCCGGCTCAGCCAAATAAGAGCCACGAGGTCTGCGGGCCTTCTGTTGTGTTCCAGCCGGCAGGCCCCCCACAGGCAGTGTGGGCCCCCTCCGTCCCAAGCTGGACATGGCCCTCAGCCTCAGCTCCTGAGGTGGAATGTCCTGGCGACCGACCTGCCCGAGTGGCCGTCTCTGAGGGGCAAGCCAGGAGCACCTGTGGTCCCCACCTGACCACGCTGAAGGAGAGCTGAGGCCCGACCAGGCCTCCCAGGGCCGCCTTCCAGAGGGCCTGGCATGGGGCTTGGGGGTGGGGGGTGTCCAGCCAGTGTCTCACCGGGAAAGAGGACTGACCGGTAACGGCTGTTCCGAGGGCCGCTGCCGCCTGCTATCCTTGAGGCTGACGCAAAGTCTGGCAGTGGATTGAGCATCTGGGGCCGGGACGACCAGGGTTGGGAGGGCGAGCCAGCCCTCCACTGTGGCAGCCCTGCTCCCATGCGGCTCGGCCCCCCCAGGAGGGGCTTGACCCCCCCCGCCCCCAAGGCCTCCTCGAGGTCTGGCTTCATCTGCCAGGCCAACTCCACCCTCACCTCGGCCCTTGTCAATGGGGTTCCTGCCCGAGGCTGCCAAGGTTGCCTTGTGCCCTCCCCATATTGGCTTCAGGTGTAGGCACAAGGGAGGAGAGATGCCAGGGGGCATCGAGAGCAAAGTGGCCAAGCCTGTCACCAGAGAAGGAAGCTTGCTTGGCCTGAGGCGGCCGGGGACCTGCCAAACTGCCCAGGCCCGCCCTGACGGAGCAGCAGCCAGTGGGGGAAGGGAGCTCCCACCACCTCGGGCTCCTTCCCACAGAGACACCGCAGGGCCCCCAACTCCGAGCCAGATCCAACGGCACCGCAAGCTCTGTCACACTGCCCTCTGCCACTTACATGGCCCCGGCAGCGACAGGACAGCAAGCAGCAACCCTGGGCGGGACTCCTGCTGGGGGAGCCGGGGCTGGAAGCGTCCCTCCCAGACCTGCCTCCAGCAGCCCCGCCGTGCCAGGTGCCAGGCCGCAGGCCCTCAGGCCTGGCTCAGACCCTCCAGAGTCAGGACCCCCGCCCCCAGGGGGAGGGAGGCCAAGATCCCAGCCGCTCCTCCTGCCCAGCTCCCTCTAGGATTAATTCTAGATAAACGGATTCGTATCTCTAGGGGTTCTGGGGTGTCTATCGGACACATGCTGAATTCCACACATCAATCATCTCGGCTTAGCCACACTCCGTGGCTTTGCTTTGCTGCATGTCTCAGTTTACCTGAACGAGGAGCTCCCACGGAGGATGGAGGAGGCCCCTTCCTGGGCCTGGGCCTCCGCGGCTGGCTGGGGAAAACTTACCCAGGCTGACCTTTCCCTGGATTCTCCCCCTGCCTCAGGAGGGAGCTGGGAATGAAGAGAACTTAGTTACAAAGGCCTGTCGACTGCGGCCTCGTCAATTAGAAAGCAGGTCCTGGGAGCTCTGCGGAGGTTTGGGCCTCGTGCCGCCCGGAGCCGTGGCCGCCACCAGGCCACTCGCCAGTCTTGTCCCCTGGGGGGGCCAGGATGGGCTCCCAGGAGGCAGCTGAGTGTCCAGGGAAAGCGGGGGCCACTGGGGCCATGTCCGTGTGGGGTGTCCCCACCAAGCCGGGGCTCTTGGCACAGAGGCGGCAGGGCCGGGAGCGGTGGGCCGGGCGCTAGGAGCCCTCGCGGAAGCTGTGGATCTGCGTGGAGTACCTGTGCAGGTGGCCCTCGGGCTGCGGCTCGGCGGCACCCAGCGCGCCCCCAGCCGCCTGCTGCTGCTGGTAGTGCTGGTAGAGCTTGGGGCCCGGCCCGTCCAGGCCCGGGAGGCGACCGCTGGACATGGTCAGGATGGTGGAGGTCAGCGACTTGATGTAGTTCTTGGCCAGAGTGAGCGTCTCGATCTTGGAGAGCTTCTTGTCCGCTCGCACATGTGGGATGACCTCCCGCAGAGCCTGGAAGGCGTTGTTCAGCTTGTGCATGCGCTGCCGCTCCCGCTCGTTGCTCTCCAGCCGCCGCTGGACGCTGCTGTCCCGCCGGCCCCCCGGCCCCGAGGCCCCCGGCCGTCTGCGTCCCCCCTCAGCCCGTGCCGCCTGCGCCCGCGCTGTCCTGCTCCGCAGACCCTTGGCCAGCTCTAGCCCCGAGCCCTGCTGGGGCCTGTCAGGGCTCTGTTCCCCTGCGGTGGCCTCTGTGGCCTGCGGCGGCACTCGGCGCCTGGGGGGCCGGTTCTTGGTCTTCATGGCTCCGGGCTAGTGATCCTGGCAGGTGGCGGCTGGGAGGGAGGCCCTGGGCCCTGGAATCCAGAACACAGGCCTTGTGGTCACACGGCAGGCTGGTGGATGCTTAGGGCGCCCGGTGGACACTCAGAGCAGCCGTGCCCGGCAGCCCCCTCACTGCCCGAGGGCAGCCGACCACTCTGCACAGCGACCCCAGGGTCCTTCCCACTCACTCACACGTGGAGCCCTGAGCCCAGCCCTGCCATTCCCGCCGGAGCTCACCCAGGCCCCTCAGACTTCTCTGACCTGCTGCCCCCTCTCAACTTGACATGCACTGACCCTGGACCGACCCGGGCCCCCTGCTCCTCGCTGCCCCGAGCTTAGGTGGCCAGTGACACTCTTCTCAGACCAGCCAGCGACTCGGCGGGACGCTAGCTGGGCGCAGGGTCTGCCTGGGGTTGCTGTTCCGGCCGCCACGCTGACGCGCTGCCCGCGGTAGGTCACTCGCGCAGGGGGGACAGTGGACCCAGAGTCGCTGTGGACGCGGGGCGGCCGTCCGCGGCCCGAGGTGGGCAGCGGCCAGCGCCTGCCTCAGCCCCGGGTCCTACCACGTGGATGCCCCCCACCCCCGGCCCCGCCAGGTCCCGCCCCTCGGCACTCTCCCCTCCGCCCCACCGCGCTGCCCCCCACCCCCGCTGACCTGGCGATCCGCAGCCGCACGCGCCGGGCTGCCCACGGGGGACAAGGACACGTCGCTTTAGCCGCCTCGGGCGGGGCTGCGGCTGTATGTAAATGAGCCCGCGGGGCGGGGCCGGGGTGGGCGGGTGCGCGCGTGTCCCTGCCAGGCGGCGGGGGCGGGGGCGGGGGCGGGGGCGCACCTGCGGGCGGGGGACCCGGCGCTCCCCGCCTGCCCCGAGGCCGCAGCCTGCCCGCCGCGCACAGCCCGGCCTGGAGCCCATTCGGCGGAGCGGGAGACTGAGGCGCCTGCGGGCCGGCGGGCGCGGAGCGAAGCCCTGGGACCGCGCCCGGCCGCCGCACCTGGCCTTGAGGTGAAGGCCCGGAACACGCGCAGTAGCCCGGAGAGTTGGCGGAAAAGCCATTTTGCGATGAAAACACTAGTTTCTGAGAAGGGCCGCAGCCGCCGGGGGCTCCGAGGGCTCCCCCCGCGCTGCGCGGGGCCGGGACGCAGGTCCAGGGGCGAGTGGGCGGAGCCCCGCGGAGCGACGCGCGGCCTCCGCGGGCGGTCACCGGTCTTCCGAGGTCTCCCCCGGGAGAGGGGCTGTTAGGGCTCAGACCCTGGCTTCCACCCACATGCTTGACTCAGTCGCCGGCCTGCCTGCCTCAGTTTCCTCACCTTTCACAGGAGCGTCACAAAGGGTTAAAACCAGCCTCTGGCTCAGGTGCTTCCAGGCTGCAGGGGGGCACCTGGAGCCCGAGGTCCCGCGTGCGCTGGGCCTCCCGCCCCTCGTGACCCGCAGGGTCAGGGGCAGCGCTGAGCTCGCACTTTCCAGACGGGCTCCCAGGGCGGTTCGTGGGCTCCATCGGGCCCCCGAGGGTCTCAGGGGGGCTGGTGTGACCGAAGTCGGGGTCAGCCTTACTCAGGAGGGGGCTCCTGCGCTGGGCCAGGGGAGCGGAGGTCCGCTGGGGCAGAGAAGGGCTAGGGCTGAGCAGCGCAGCCTCTGGGTTTACAGCTCATCACAGACTGTATCTCAGAAATTAAAATGCTTCTCAAACTCAATATAGGCTTTGAATTACAGATACACCTTGCGGCGGCACAAGCACTATGTCTCCAAGTTCAGTTTTCCAGTGATTATACAGACTTTCATGTTCTCAGGAGAGTGGGGGTTTTAGGTCATGTAAAAAGGCACACAATCTCGAGACCCGGGGAGTGAGTGCCCCCGGCAGGGCAGTGAGTGTCAGGTCACCCACCCGGCCCTTGCACAACGAGGGGTGGGGTGGGGTGGGGTGGGGTGGGAACACACGAAAGAAACGCAGC